AAGCATACACTACAAGTGGTAAATTGGTTGAGAAAGGCCCAAGTTTTGAATGGGCCAATGTGGTCCGTCTATGCTGCAACCCAAGGATTCACCAGCCTCTTTCTGTACTACTAGAAATACACAACGTAGAGGAGAAGGAAAATAAGTTCTTGAACTGGAAAGACAAATTTGCCCTTCCCATTGGAATCTGATATGCGTTGTAAATAAGGGCAGCAATGTCTTTTAAAACAGAGGGAATGTACCTAGTTCGACGAGAAGTGGGCAACGCAATATGGAAGGCCATTCTTGAAGAATCCAACGGGACGATATATATACCAGATGCAAATTATGGGCTGGATCCAACATTGATCCAGCCCATATAAGTATGGGCCATGGAGTGACTTTATATGAAAATTATGGGCTGGATCCAACATTTTCTATTTTTTTTTTGTTTTTCTAATTATTGTGAAAATAGAAAGCTAAAATCATTTCATTTTGTTTTTCTTTGAAAATAGTTTTGGAAACCAGCCCCGATTTGAAAATTGAAGAAAAAAAAGTCTTGTATTTTAGAAATTGATGAAAATGAACATAGGTGATATTTGCATGGCACATCAATTCAACACCGAGTTTGCATAAATTTAATAATTAGTATACATTTTATCTTAAGGAGTTCGAATCAATCAAACAAATCTAATTACACTTGTTTAGTAAATGAAATCTACAAAATCGATTAAACACGACATAATCTAAATGAGTCGAGTATCAATTAAATCAGTTTTGACACGACAGAACCTTCTTACTAACACTAGGTGAGCTAACCCCATAATTTACAAGTTGAACAAAGAGAGAATACAGAATTCCAACATCAAATATGACACTACTATTATTATGATTATGATTTGAACGCGTGCCTTGTGATGATGCTGAAGAAGAAGGCTCTCTCTCTCGGTGCCCATACGGGGAATAGCAATCGATTGCTCTCTGGCCCAACTTGATGAATGGACAGACACATGAATGAATGAAATGGATGGTGATATAGACCTTGGACCCATCGTTGGATTAATGCATGGTGTACCATAATTGATGGACGTGAGCTACGTCATATAATGGTGTACAATCCAAATGGACACACACCCAATTCAGTTTCAGTATCAGTATCAGTACACTACTTGAATGTAGGAATAGAACAGAGAAGGATAGTTTCATTTATTTGTTGACTATTGCATCCTACTCGATCCTCATATATATGTAGTTTTTAGTTGTAGTTGTACTAGTAAGAGAAGAAATAAGTGAAGCTTTTGAGTGCTGCTTGTACTCTTCAATATGGCATTATTATTACCTTACGTCTGCACGTTATAGAGTCCCGCGAATATGATGTAGCGATAAATTTATTCTATTTTAACTCTACTATCACGGGTTCAACTTAGAAATAAATTTTTTGCATGCTAGTTGAGTCTGATATATTGGGCTGCCTATTATCATCACACTATACTGCCTAAATACTAACAGTTATAGTTTGCATATATATGCATGTTGTAGGTTGTATATACTAAGAACAAGATATGAAAGTAGCCGGGTATGAATATTCTGCTTGTCGCTTTATATGGTTGTGGAACTATTACTATGGGTACAACATGTTATGATTTAGGGTGAAAGCACTAAAGGCTCTCTTGCCTTCAAAAATTGAGTGATTTTGGATAGATTTGAAACTCATTTTTTTAAGTAAAAAACTACGATTTGAAAAGTTTGGTAAAAAAGTTAAGAGTTAAAAAAATTTACTAAAATCGTTTGGGACATTCTTTAAAAAGTAAGAAAAGTTAAAAAAATCCGTTTGTAGTGGCGTTCTTGCCTTTTTGGCTTTTTATGTTAAAATGAAAAAATAATTACATGCATGTATAGATTATGCACAATAGTTCCCAAAATATGAATTTTAATTTTTTTTTAAGTAACTAATAATATTTTATGAATATAATAAATAAAAAAATTATGTAAGACATATGACAAAACTCCAAAAAATGAGAAGAAAAACTCATAAATTCAACTTATTGAACCAACCTTTTTTTTTTGGGGGGGGGGGTGTGGAGGAGAAATGGAGAGTTGAATCATTCACCTCAAGAAAGTAAAGCTTTTATAAGGTAAAAAGTACTATTAGATCAAACGTCTGTTGGTTGAGTAAATATTGAATGCAACGGTAATATCATGTCATCATTGATGATATGATATCATCAGCCAATAATAAAACCAAAAATCTGGAGGGTGTAAAATTATTTACTTATATAACATATTAGTTATTAGTTTTTGTAGGGTCCATGTGCTCATTTATTTTAGTATTATTAATTGATTATACCATATCACTTTGTCATGTGGTATCATCGTTGTAACAAACATTTTCTCGCGTTGGTTCTTGAAGTAATCTAAATAAATATTTTTGAGTCTAAAAACTATTGCATAAGTTATAAAAAAATCAAAATTTAAACAGTCTAACTTATTTTATTCCAAAACTCTTAGAAATTACTTATTTAAACTAGCTCCAAAGCGACCCTTTGCACCCTTTTCGCCATATAACCACGCTCATCCACACAATTTTTCAGTAGATGTAAGCATACTAGTCATATCTTGTGCTTAAAGGCACGATAAAACATAAAATTCGAGCGTTCAAAAAATTAATTATATTATATAAAATAGTAACTTTTTATTTATTTGTTTATCTAATTACATTATTTAAAATTAATTTCAACCTATTTTTTCTTAAATATAACGTCTAGTTTCTCAAAATGTATAACTCAGACAAAATTTTCTCAGCATATGTGTACTATCGTGTATGAACAAACAATGAAATAAAAATTATGTTAAACTAAAAATCAATCAAATATTAAATAATTAAACATGTGATAAAATTGAATGTTGTGATATTTTTTAAGAAAAAATATGTAAGAGATAAAATTCAATTTCTTATATGTTTTATTATATAGACGAAGGAGGCATGTTTGATCAAATTAAGTTTTAAACCTTTATTGTACAACACGTCTTGCGGACTTAACCCAAACACGTTGTATTATACTATGTGGATCCGGAGCGTTGCATTACAAAACATCATCTATTGATCCCATATTTCTTGATAGTAAGGGCAAGGAAGATCAATTTGCTGATGCAGAAGGGATTACCCATACATGTATATATTCCTACTGTATGACATTTTGTAACCACTGTTTCAGTGTACAGTTGATGACAGTGTACACTTATTTTTGCTAAGCTTATGATAATATAGGTGGCTCACATTTAATATATGGAGAGACTAAACAAATTCGAGGATAATGGGCTAGTTAGAGTAGAAGAGCCGCACGTGCCTTTGGGATTTACCATAATTAGGGTTGTAACCTATGTATATTAAGTTGTAATCCTACTTTTGGTGTAAAATAAAGACAAAGTAGCTGCTTTTTTGTGGACATAAGCAAGTTGACGAGTCACAGAAAAAATTTTGTGTTCATCTTCTAATTTTTTGTTTATTTGATTGTTCATCGTACACAAATCACAACAAATTTTCACTTAGCCAATAACAACACAATATTAAGGTATAATATCGAAAAGGCGAAAACAAAAACATTTGCTAGCTGTGTCTCTTGATCACAATCATGAATATTTTGTCTACATCCATATCTTGCATAATCAATAGGTATATAGCCTTTCATTTGCTAGTACATTTTGTATTTTCTAACACACTAGGTCCTCATAATGCGCCATCAAATGTAAAGAGACTTGGAGAAGGGTTTACACAGGCGCTCTCAACAAGAGATTTGACTCTTAGATATGTGTGTTCAAACTAAGTATAATGAAGCATTGACACAAAGGTGGAGAGTGGAATATAGAGAATACCACCTTCCTTACTGTAATGGTCCACAAACCCCTCAAAAAACTGATCACAAAGTCCCTCTAATGGTCCACAAAACCTAAAGCTCAGAGATGGAGAGGAGGGCCATGGTCTGAGGTGACATCTTCAAGTCACTTTGTATTAGCCCCTCGAGTTGAACCCAACCATAAAAAGCTTTGCTAATCAAACATTGCTAGGTATATATTAACTTCTGCAACCTAATTTGAAACCATCATCTCAGAAACTCTTAAACCGAACGAGTGTTTGTTTTTATTATTCAACATCATATACCGTGAAACTTTCTTGTAAAAGTAGTTGATTGAAAATTAATTCCAGAAATTATTAGAATTACTGTTAATCCAACAATATTTAAATTCATGTAGCGTTACTCTAATAACAGCTACCCCTTTTTCCAACCTGCTATGACATTAAATTTTTGGTCATCTTTTGATCTTTTTTTCACAGTCAAACGATGCTTTAAGAATTTCGTTTGCATGTATATCATCACAACTACAATATGGACAGATTCTTCAACAGTTCAACGCCATGGAGTGAGAGTTCTTATGACGAAAATAACCTCATTTCTAGAGCGTAACTGGCCTTGCACATGTGCTTGGCAACTGGGGGAGGGTAGATTTGATTAATTAGACCACAAGCCTGCCAAACGATGTTAATTTTGTGTCAAGGAAGAGGAAGGGCTATGAAAATTATAATTTTTTAAGGCTAAATTACAAAATTTTTTTATGTGTAAGTTACAATTTTAAAAGGCATAATCGATCATGGAAGGTTGAAATTGATACCAAGATTTTCATAATCAATTATGGATGTATATGGTCAATCATGGTTTAAACAGTTGTTAACTTTTCCTTTTAAAAATAAATTTTACTTACAAAAAAATGATTATTTACGGAACAATACAAAAAAATATTGTAGAATTTTCCCAAGGAAGATATAGAAGGCGGAGACCTTTCCTCTTCCTTAGGCTTTTTCTTCATGGTTATAGATTGGGTTGCATCTCTTTGTAATCATGACTCCTCTTGTCATCATGACCAGACTTGAAATATCTCTCTCTCTCTCTCCCCATACCAGCAAAAGGCACCAGATGGGTGCAGACTACACATTGGAAAACAATAAACCCACCTATTTATAGCATCTCATAACCAACTTCTTCTCTCAGTTAAAACTTATTAAATACAGTACACATCTCTTGCTCTTCTTATTGTTCTTCAAGTAACATATAAAGACACTGCAGAAATGTGTAATGGTGCCAGTGAATGGATTTCATCACATACTATCCGCTTCCATATCCAAAGACAACAGTCAAAAAGATGTAGGGTTCGAGTTCACAGGCTTTCTAGGTAACATTCTTACACGTAAAAAAAACCCTGAATATGCCCATAATATGTGTTTGTGTGTGTGTGTGTGCTGCTTTTTCTTTTGATATAAACTGTTGCATCATAGTTTTCTATCTAGCAGGAGAAAAAGGCATGAAGAAAATGGTGGGAAGGACATGGAACTAAAGAACTTGAAGCTGTATATGGAGAACATCAGTATTTCAGAAGAGAATGAGAAATTGAGGAAGAAGGCTACCCTCCTCCACCAAGAGAACCTTGCTCTGATGTGTGAGTTGCAAAAGAAATTCTCTGGGTTCGATCGTCTCTCCGACACAATTTCCTAGTTCTTCATAAACAATTATATCAAATAATGTAATCAATTTCGTTTCCTTATTCCTTTTTTGCTTTTGTTCTCCACTCTAGCTTCTTTCTTTCCTTGGTATGTCCCTAATATTTTTTTTAATGTTGTTGGACTGTATAAGGGAAAGTGGGTATGTCTGGTATTTTATGTTGTTATATGTCTAGTATGAAAATGAATTGTTATTTGAAAAAACTGATGGGGCCATATTAGAACATTAAAACTTTAGGGGGCCATGTCCATGGTTGATGGTTTTCAATTAGCATTCACAAAACTTAACCAGCCAGAAAACAGTTTCTTAAACTCAAAGGGACAAGAGAGTAATTATGGTTTGCTGATCTATAGGTAGTCTTGCCCATACCTGACAATTCTAGAAAGTACCTTCGATTAGAAATCAGCGGGCCGAGATGTAACCTTAATCGGTGCGAATGATAATTGAATAGAGTACTGATATCCATCAAATAATGAATAGTATGAACTAATTAAACAAACAGTTTACAGACACGAACTCTAACATACACCATTATAAGACAATTTGGACATGACACGACCCTTTACAGCCTTTGCTCCGCCCGTTTTTGGATGTCAATATCTGGTGCCAAGAGTTTGTTTTTTCGGAGGGAAAGAGAGGGAGGGGGTTAAGAAAAGTGTAACGAGTTCTCATGTGCCGTTGTATGTGGATTATGCTTCCTCTTATGGGTTCTAAGGTACATTTTACTCCCTTTTGGGACTGCGGTTGCATTAAGATCATGGGTTTGCACTGGCTCTGCAAAAAGAACTAAATGTACTATTGCTTCTGTTGGGGGTGTACTTTGCACCTTTTTACATGGGAGAAAAGGAAGTGTTTAAGCAAGTACAACTATGGAAGAAAGTGAACCAAAGATCCAAGAAAGCAGGGCTTGGATCTGAGATGAAAGGCTTCGCTTTCCACAAAGAGAAACACTCATTCAACCACCAAGTATCATAAGGAACATTTAATAACAACTGCAACTGTAGAAGGAAGAAACCAGTTCTATTCCACGTATAGAGACTGGAGTAACATATGCATTTATATAATACTTTCCCTCACGTTTGACTTCTATTGGATGGTCCATCCACGTGATCAAGGGAAGAGGTATGATAGGATTTGAATTTGGGATGACGAGACCTCTAGAATCTAATACCATATTAAGCATCATCTACTCTAAAAGTTTAAGCTGTTAAAATGTTAGAGAGAGAGTGTAACATATATATTTGTAAGATAATTGCTGTCACACACATAAAATAATATACAACATGGTATCACTGACCCTTTCATCCATTGACTGCATCAGAAAGGGGTCAGGGACTCTTTTCTAGTTTAGGATCCCCTTTCTACATTCCATTTTTTATTGAGCCTGGTGTGGAATCACCATAATTACACATTCATTGTTGGTCTGGCTGCTGGTTTAGCGAGCCTTCCTAGCCGCCTAGAGTGCAACCTGCCTGCTTAAGACCGTATCCCCCTCAGCCTGTCCATACCAGTCAAATTAAACATGCATTCACTGAGGCCTCTAAAAAGCTATACAGAAAATTAAAATCTTGGCCTCTGTATCATAATATCATGTGAGATCACTCAATTCCCTTTGGCCTAAAAGGTGTTTAGGGAGGAAGCATCCCAATGTTTTGACCTACAGTTTGTCTATGACATCTTAGGTGGTCACAAGGTGCCCTCTTTTATTCTTCACCGGGAGTTCAACTTTTAACCATTTGGCCTTCAAGGCCTCCTACTTTTTCTTGGTATCTTTCCTCAATGGACCACATGCCAAAACCCCATTACTGCAATTTGTAAAATAGGCACATCCAAAAATTCATCATCTAGTTAGATAAGCTAAGCAAGTTCAGATTCATCCCTTTTGATGATAACATCAAGGATCAGTCGGAATAACAATCATAGTCGACAACTTTTTCTCAAAAATATCATGATCATAGTTGACAACTTGACATAGATGCAATGAAGAAAGAAATTTTATTAACTGAACAAAATGTAAAGGACATCACATCAAAGGTTTAAACAGGGTCTATTTAACATTAACAAAAATCAAAAAGTCTACAAGCGTAGTGGTCCTATGATAGATAACCTAATGAGAGATAAGGCAGAAGTTCTTAAGAAATGTCATATTAATGCAGCTAGAGAGGCTAAGTTGAACCCACTTGGTTGACAAACTCACCAGCCACAACAGGAGGAGAATTACTTGTTTCAGATACAGCTTAATCCATATTGACATTTTGACTGTCAAATTCATTGCAATCATCCGACGACAAGGAGGTGACTTCAAAACCCTACCTTTCAACTTGGAATTGCCAGTATATCCTCTTTGAATCAATTTCTGCCATAGATGACTAAGCTTTCAGCTTGCTCCCATTTCATGCTTCCTGACAAAGGATTTATTGATAGAAGTAAATTGGGTATCCGTCAATCCTTGAATACAAGCTAGATCACCGGAAAAGAAAGGAGGATGTTGTTACCAATCATATTGAGAGGCTGAAACAGGAGGCAAATTCTATTGGGCACAAAATATAATACAGAAGCTCATAAATTCTTGGAGCGACCCTCGGATGATTTGTATATGCGAAACGCAGCAATGCATATTGTGATGTTACCAATAACTGTCAATGCCGCTTGAAGAGCCACCAATACCTACAATTCATGGAGGAGCATTAAGCCATTTCAGGGGTCACCGTAAAAATGTTTCTCTTCAACATTAAATACAAGGCGAAGAAACTAAAAATTAAAAAATAGATAATATGAATATCTTGCAAAATACAATCATATGACAGTGACCAATACATGCATGGCCATGCACTGCATAAAAGCCTGCACCAGCAACTTAAGATAATTTGGGAGATAAACAAAAACAAATCATAGATCTCATGCTATGTATGGACAAGTAGGTCTCTACAGATAATGGCAACTCCCAAATCACAGACAATTTACAAATGGTTTGGTTCTATTTGGCATAAAATAACTGTCTCACAAGCTATATCCAAGCCAAACAAAGTCTAACCAAACCCAAGAGAACTGTTTCTCACACCCAAAATCAACATAAACTCTGAACGGACGTCACTCCAGATTTCAGAGCACAGCAGGCCCACATCATGACTCAATGAACTGTCTCAGCAACTAAATGCTACTAATTCCTACCATTTCATTTTTCAAACATTGTCCACCTTGCTAGTAGAATCATGACTTCATGACCGCATGCGACATACTACTTAAGTCTCTTTTCCGGTATCATCAGTTGCTAAACATTCATATTGTTTAAATGTATCTTGAATCGACTGTCCAAAATTCTGGCTTTGTCATTCATGAGAAATATTTATGATTCTCACAGAATTTTTCCTTAAAAAATCAGTGAGAGGCATTAGCACCGTAATGCTAAAAGATTTGGAAATTTTCAAAGCAGGTTTTGCAGAATCAGAAGGTTGAGCACTTCTTACCCAAGCACAAAGAAATATGCTCAACAAGGTTCTAAAGAAAGATCATAGACCCTCAGTATTTACAAATCAGATCCACAAAGGAAATTCCAACGTGGAAATTTTCAACCCCAGCCAACTAAAAAGGGGGGGGGGGGGGGGAATGATGATCCTTGGTTTCCTCTGCATTAAATTCTTCCAACCCTGTTCATATATACATCGTATTTTGATTCCTAGTCATCTGCACAGCTGCACTCACCCTATGAAGTGGGTATGACATCATATTTGCAGAGTTCCATTTTTTAGGGAAATGGAGGTATACAATAAGATAGATCTATTGAAACACCAAATTGAATTGCCAATTTCAACACATCGACACAATGATATATTGTTTTTTCCAACAAAAAATGAAAATAAAAAAAAACATGTTCCTGCTTCTCGAGTTTTTTCCTATTCATTAAGATCCATGTTTATTGGTTATATGGGTTTCCCCAACACCATTGAGGTAAATGCAGCAAATAGCACGCAAATATCATTGTGCGCCTATATCTTCATGCTATATTTTTTTTTTTTGCTGGTCCCCTTACCATAAGTGATTGCAAGAACAGTAGGAGAAGCTATGGTAAGCGTATCAGAATATATAAGCATCTGCATTACAAATACTTTACAGTCACAGCAGACATGCCAATAAGTATGCAGAACTATATATCTTTCAATAAAACAAAAAATTCCCTTGCACATATTGATCATAGACACAGAGGACGGGTGGGGCTTAGAACAATCAACTTTCAACTACTTTCCCGGCATGTTTTAAAGAGAAATAAGTCTTCTAACCTCAAGAGACTCGGAGTTATAAAAGAAATGCCATGTGCAGGCACATAGTGCTCCACCGAGCAAGGGCACCTAAAACGATAAATAAATCATATGAATGTAAAGTTGAAATTAAAGTTACAATCTGAAAGATGCTACAGTTAGAAAGAGAATTAAATGTTGGATTGTCACCAATAGTAAAACAGTGTGGAAATGCATACACCATTCAAATTCTATAGACCAACAATGCAATTAACCAGAAATAGTTTTCAAACTTCAATGATAAGTAGTACATTTTTGTCTCTGTATGCCAAAATGATTTAGCCAAGAATATCTCTAGACAAGTGTGATGTGTTATGTATAAATACATAAAAAGATACATCGCCACATAAACCATGTCATATCCTCCCTTGGAAGTGATCAATCGTACAAATAAATGAACTTTGAAAGAAAAAGAGAAATTCTAGGGTATCACATTTGTTAACTGACTTGCAACCAACATGTCCAAGGGGAAAGACCAGTAAAATTTTACCATAGGCAGTGAGAGGCAGAGTAACTACAGAATAACACCAAGCATAATCTGTAAAATGAGATCCATAAAATAGAACCACAAATAATAACAAAATTAAAAATGCATTTGACTACTACAGCATACACTTTGGGACAATCAATTTAACGTTTTACCAACTCTTGACATACAAACGACAAATGTCCTTGACACTGTTAGCACATCAGCTGTCACCATAAGAGGCAGCAACAATTATACAGAGTCTTATCTGGAATTAGATGAGATCAAGTTCAGCATGAACTTGAGGAATATATGCAGCGGCTAGAAAGGCTCTTTAAAATAGGACCTTACAATGCTGGCTCGTTTCATGATATCGTGCCAGCCTTAGCAAAAAGCCATATTGACAAAGGAATCAATGTGATAAAAATAGAATGCATGCCATACAAAATACAAATGCCTCGGAACACATCATCACTAAGTAAAAATCACCCCCAAGACAACATACACCAAAATCAACAAAAGATTACATAAATGAGAAACTTTAGAAACAAGTTACAGTCCAAATAATATAAAATTATGAATGTAACCATAGATGTTCTACGAAGTGCGAGGGGGGGGAGATGACTCTCAGTCGATGTGGGACGAAGCTCCTGCGGGCACTGAGGGGTAAAGGCTACTGGGGGGTCGCCCGCGTGGGTTAACCCAGGTCAAGCCGAAATCCTTCAAGTGGCCTGGGTTAACCCACGCGGGCGACCCCCCAGTAGCCTTTACACCTCAGTGCCCGCAGAAGCTTGACCTGGGTTAACCCACGCGGACGACCCCCCAGTAGCCTTTACCCCTCAGTGCCCGACCCCCCAGTAGCCTTTACCCCTCAGTGCCCGCAGGAGCTTCGTCCCACATCGACTGAGAGTCGTCTCCCCCCCTCGCATATAAGCCCTTGCACTCAAAGGAGGAGGTACCCACTAGGCACCTGATCAGGTCGCTAGTGGGTACCTCCTCCTTTGAGTGCAAGAGCTTATATGCGAGGGGAAGACGATTCTCAGTCGATGTGGGACGAAGCTCCTGCGGTAAAGGCTACTGGGGGGTCGCCCGCGTGGGTTAACCCAGGTCAAGCCGAAATCCTTCAAGTGGAGGGATGAGATCCGTAGCGATTTCTACCCCTTACACGAAGTGAACCAAATTTACTTGAAACAGAACTCACCATACCCCATGAGAGCCCTTTCCAAGATTCATACCCAGCTTTTTCCCCATATTGCCACACCAATGCCATTGCAGTGACCCTTTTTCAATTCAAAGAAATTTATAAACTAATCAATGGAACATCCATATATGAGTGTGTGTGTGTGAGAGAGAGAGTGAGAATCTTCTCACCATTCCACCACGCTAGATACATGAATAGCCCAGGTAGGCAAAGAAAGGGCATTGGAGGGTTCATTAAATTGCAGAGAAGAACCCACCAGTGGTAACTCAGCAGCAGAGGCCGACCCCCCTATGATGGTCATAGCAAACCCAGCTCCCAAAAGAGAGGCCATGGCTTTCTGGTTCTGATAGAACCCGTAAATGATGTGTTTCTGGGTTTGGTTTCGTTGGGGTGCAGTAGCTACATGAAATTTTGAAAGACTTTTGGTGGTTTTCTGGGATGAGAATCGAAATTGTTTGGGTTTGTGATGAATAAAGGGCTTTAAATGAGACATTAAGGTTAGGACTGCCATGATTTTCGGTATTAACTAGGTGTGATGATAATGAGTGAGGTTCCAGAGGGTGTGATGAGAATGAGTGAGATTCCTGAGGTTCGGAGGCTTAAAGTTGTCGGGTATGGAAAATCTGCCCAGAAGTTGAAGTTAGTTTGGTAAAGCAAGCAAGCTTCAATCCTGTGGTGTCCATTGTAGAGATCTACTTGACTTGACCCGCCCATTACTGTGCACAATTTGGGCCAATGGGTTCAGAAATTGTTTGGGTCGGATAAGACAATGGTCTTGGTTCGCATATTTTGGAAAATTCTATTTGCGCTAAAAATAGATGAAAGAATTTAATCGAGACAAAATTTATAATTGAAAAATTAAATTAAAATAATTAAAAATTTAAAGATCAAATAAAAATTAGAGGTAAAGTTTAGGGATTAATTATGACATTAATAGAAAAAAAACTATTAATAAGGTGAAAAATATTCAATATAACGGTGATACTATGTTACCATTGATGATATATTATCATCAATTAATAATAAATCTTTACGTGGACAAAGTGAACTTCACTTTGATAGTTATTGACTAGCATAAAAGAATAGTAGTTAGTTATTATCTTATATTGACTGGTAAATTTTGGCTTGCGTGAGATTTGTTTTTCTATTTGTTTACATATTATTTATTTGCAATATCACATGATAGTGCTGATATGATATTATCGTTACAATTAGAGGTGACAAAAGGGTGAGTTGGGCTGGTTATAGTTGGATTAAATTGGATTAGGTTAAAAAAATTCAATCTATTTTTCACTCACGTAGTCACGTATTAAATAGGTTATAATGGATTAGATCTATATTGTGCTGATTTAAGTGAAAATTGGAGTTGAGTCCTCCTGAATGGACTTATAATAACTTTAGTCTGTCAAGAAAACTTATTTAGTGATAACTCCGTTTTTTATCTTACTAATAAGTATTTAAATTCACTATTTTTTTAAATTCAAAAAATACCCTTAACAATGTTATTTTATTCAATTATACACTTAAAGACATTGAAAGTAGATTTAAATTAATTTCTTAAATTATAAATTATTATCTCTTAATTCACTCATAAATTAAAATTAAAATTTATATTCTCTTTCTTTCTCGTTAGAAGAAGATCATCACTCCAATACAATAAATATTTCTCCTTAGATATCATTTCTTCCTCCATAGAATCAAAATCAGTAGGGTTTGGAACATCATCAATAACTATCATTTCTTTTATTGCGTTTTAGTCATCATAAACTTCTATGTCGTTAGTTTTCGGAAAAAAAAAAGTTTGAAAAACTTACTTAATATGTTATTAGTTTGATCCCCAATTTTATTTTTATTTTTTTGATAAATAATTCCCAATTTTTTTAATGTTTTATATTACTACGTTTTTTGTTTACCAAGTTACTATTTTTTCTAATTGACCATGTTATTATTTTTCCAGTATTACTTTTTTGGATGGTTAAGAATTGGAGGCTTCTTCCTCTGATTATGAGTTTTTTTTTTAACAAAGAAAGAGAAAATAGCATAAATTATGTAGGAAAATTTACATTACAGTCAGATAAAAGAGAAGTCATAAGCTCAGGAGGGGGAGCCTAACCAATCTAAAGGGAGAGAGTTGGTTAGCTTAAAAGCTGTCACCCAATAAGCTGCCTTATTACAGATTCATGGCTTGTGTAAAAAGCGAAAGTTATGCAACTTTGCAAAAAAATTAATATCATCCAGTATGACCCTAATCTCCCATGGAGGAGCATTTTCCGTAGCACTTAATTTAATGATAGACAAACAATCATTCATTCAGTAGCATTAGACATCAACAGAGCATCAGCAAGAATGCAAGCCTGGCGGACAGCTTCGACTACAGATGCCAAAGAAGATCCAGCAGAAAATGGCTTGGCTGCACCAAAAATCAATTCCCCACCTTCAGTACATACCACCACCCCACAAGCAGCAGTCCCAGAAGAGGAGTTGAAAACCCCATCGCAACAAACTAGGATATCAGAACCAAGGGAGAAGGGATGCACCTCAGCAACCACAAGATCATCAGGCCTCACATTCCTAGTAGCAGACCCACAAAATTGGTCACTCCACAGGCACTAAGCACGTAAAAGTGAGGCAAAAGCATTGACCTCCTCATCGCAAAACACTTTCTGGTTCCTGGCTTTCCAAATGACCCAACCCATAGTTGCCAATTTTCCCAAAAACACCAATCTACTTGCAGCATTCTCCACCAGCTCCAATAAGCAAGAGGTCCATTGTGACACAGACATGAAAGAGTTCACAGTCCACCCAACAACACAAATCCATTCCAAACCAGATCCTCTAGGTCCACTCCCACTCAAACAAAAGATGTTCAAGGCAGGTTGGGGTAGTAGCACACTTACGTTTCAAAAGGTTCTCCTTAGTAGCAAGAATGTTGTGGCAAGCCCTCCACCAAAAAGTGTCTCACCTTTGGTAAGGCCTTCATGTTCCAGACTACCTGCCAGAGCTTGGGATGGGGAGAGACAGAAGAGCTGCATTCCACAGAGGACTGCAGTTGTCTGTTACCTAACGTATACCCTGATTTGACCGAATAGATCCCCTTGGTGCTTGGCCACCAGACACGTTTATCAGCTCCTCCTTTGAATGAGAGAGGAATAGAATGTATAACAGATAAATCCGCCTTTGAAATAACAGCAACCAATCCAAAAGTATCCCATCGACAAGGATCCAAAAGAAAAACACCAGCCACTTTGTTAATCCTACTGTTAATGGGTTGAGGAGACTGAACAGTCAAGGAATGAGAAAGAGGGACCCATTTATCAGTCCAAAAGCTAACCATTTTCCCATCCCCGATTTGCCACATAATGCCTTTATCAAGCAAGGTTCTTCCATGAAGGAGGCTACACCATGCCCATGAAGGTCGATGACCCCTTCTGGCCTCCATAAAGTCCCCACTCGGATAATAGATGGCCTTCACAAACTTCGCCCAAAAGGAATCAGGTTGAGACAAGAGACGTCATCCTTGCTTAGTAAGAAGAGCTTGATTAAATAACTTGAAATCCTTGAAACCCATGCCCCCAACCTTCTTGGATTCTGTCATTTTCCCCTACTTCTTCCAAGAGATCCCATTACCCTCCATAGACCCCTTCCACCAAAAATGCCGGACATAGCCATTAAGCTTGTTACAAAAGCTATTAGGAAACGCAACAATAGACATAGCATAGTTAGGAATAGCTTGGATCACTGCATTTATTAGAACCTCCTTCCCCGCCTGTGTTAGACAAGACCCTTTCCAGCCTTGAAGTTTCTTTGCAACACATTCCACAATATACCCAAGCACATTACTCCGTGAACGACCCCACATGGTAGGAATGCCCAAATATTTAAACTAGTGAAGAAGAGACTGCATACCCAAGTGAAGGCAGAGATGACTCCTTTGCTCATGAGAAGAATTTGCCGAGAAAATGATACCAAATTTCTGTAAATTGGCACTTTGACCTAAAGCAGCACAATAGCATTGAAGAGTCCTGAGGAATTCCCTTACACAACCATCCTTAGCCTTGAGGAAGAAAAAAGAGTCATCAGCAAAGAAGAGATGTGAAATAATAGGGCTTCGTCTCCTGATCTTCAATCCCACCAACCTATTGGTTGCCATACCTTTAAGGATCATAACCGATAGCACATCAGCGACAAACATAAAAAGATAAGGGGACAAAGGATCCCCTTAGCGCAAGCCTCGTTTCGGCTGAACTTCACCTTGGCGAGCCCCATTCAACAGCACGGTAAAAGACACATTAGAAACATATTGCATAATGAAATGCACCCATCACCTATAAAACCCTAGGGATAACATAGTAGCTTCCAGAAAATCCCATTCGACCCGGTCATAGGCTTTACTAATGTCCATCTTGATAGCCAGCTCTGGTATTGTACCTTTTCTTTTGCCTTTAAGATGGTGAAAAACTTCATTAGCAATAAAAATACTATCTTGAATTTGGCAATTAGGAATAAAGGCTGCTTGGTTAGGGGAAATAATAGAACTCATCAAAGGCTTCAGTCTGTTTGCTAGAACTTTAGAGATGACCTTGTAAGCGAAGTTACACAGAGCGATAGAACGGAATTGAGAGATTGTTTCAAGTGAGGATTCCTTTGGAATAAGAACAAGGTTGGTAAGATTCAGTGAAGAAGACACATGACCCCCCTCAATGAATTCTTTAACCATAAGAAAGACATCATGCCCCACAATGTGCCAAAAATGAGTATAAAAAATTCCTAGGAAACCATCAGGCTTAAGGGCCTTGAGAGCCACCAACTCAAAGACCGCACACTGAACTTCCCTAAGCGTGAGTTCACGAAGTAAACATTGATTCATAACTGAAGAAACCTTGGGATTGACCGCCTGCAAAGCTTCAGTGAAATCTCTAGCTCCAATAAAGGTAAACAGACTTTGAAAATAATCGGTAATATGAGAATTCAGCTCCTCCTCCCCTTCAATCCAATCCTTAGCATCATTCATGAGTCTAACAATAGTATTCCGATTACGTCTATGGAGAGTGGACAAATGGAAGAAACGTGTATTCTGATCCCCACCCTTTAGCCAACTAATTCTGGACCGTTGGCACCAATAGTGCTCCTCTCTACATCGGATAGCATCAATTTGAGAACATAAATCAGTCTCTCTTCGCAAAGTGTCCTCAGTAAGGGCAAGGGAATGAAAGGAACACAATTCGTTCAAAAGCTCCTGTAAAATTTTTTGATTATTACCAAACTTCTGCTTACTCCAACCACGGAGACTATCCTTACAATGCTCCAGATTCAAGTAGACGTTCTGACCCACTTGGCCTGGCAGACAAGAAATCCATGTATGTTTAATCACCTCCTCGCAAACAGGATCCTTCAACCACATACTTTCAAACTTGAAGTAGAAGGGTCGTTTCTTACCCAAAATCCCAAACTCAATCACAATAGGGCAATGATCCGAGCCTAACCTGGCCTCATGAACCACCTACATTGAGGGATAAGAGACACACCACTCAGAATTAACCAACACCCGATCAAGACATTCTTAGACATTTGCAACACCTAGCCGATTATTAGACCAAGTAAATCTGGGCCCATTAAAATTCAACTCAAACAAGCAACAATCTGATATAAGAGTTTACAACTCCTCGACTCGGTGCAAGCAGGCAGCCGAGCCCCCTTCCTTATCAGACAAAGAACCAATAACATTAAAATCATCCACAACAATCCACAGGCCATCAACCACCCTAGCTATATTTTTAAGACAAGCCCAAATTCTCTGGCTCCTATCCATCTTAGGATCCCCATAGATAAAGGTGCATCTCCAGGACAAGTCTTGCTGGTTGGAATAACAACTTGCATTTGAATGCTACTATTTTTATTTTCAATTTTGTTCAATATTTTATATTGCTATTTTTTTTAGTATGCTAATGTTTTTGTTAAGTATATTACTGTTTCTTTTAAGTATGTTACTATTTTTATTAAATATGTTACTATTTTTGTTGAATATGTTACTATTGTATTTTTTAAAATATTAATATTGAATGTTACTATTTTTTTGTGTTTAAATGTTACTATATATATATATATATATATATATATATATATATAATATTAGTCAAACTCCTAAAATTTAAGAATTTTTAATTTTTAATTTTACTTCACTTCTAAACAGAAGGGATAATCTAATAAAATTGACAAAAACGGGACTTCATAACAATTAAGTTTCCTTGGTAGACTTAAGTCCATATAAGCAGACCAACCTCCAAATTTTTCTTGATTTAAACTCATTAACCCATAAATATAATTAAAATTTTTAATATACACACACTAATACATTAAAATACACACACACACATTAGTACACCAAAATACAAATATATACACACACTAATACACTAAAAATACGCACTCACTAATACAATAAAAATACGCACACATATACTAACACATAAAAATTAAAACATATTTAATAAAAAACAAAAATACACACATAATGGGTCGGTCCACCCATGTGTCATAATCGGTGTGGTCGACCAATGGGGTCATAGGTCACTGGTCGGGTCATGGGGTCACGGTGTAGGGGTGTATTAGTGTGTATATTTTTTGCATATTAGTATATTTATTTGATTTTATTACTTTTATTATTTAATATAAAGATAAATACTCAATTTAATGAGTATCTATTTATAATTCATCTTAACTTGTTTATTTAAAATAAATCATATCATTTAACCTATTTAGAACATGTATGAATTAATTAGTAATTGCCTCTGCCCGGAGATGCTATGTTACTCATAAAAAATTGTAAATATTTTTTATAAATAAAGGCAATATATCATACAATTTCAACAATACAATGACCAAATTGATATTATTCAACTTGTATGTGGAACATATATAATTAAACATTTATATAACGAAAGTCACGCTACAACTGCTGTAACATATTAATTCAAAAATCTGAAAAAAATATAATTATTATTAATCAAATATCCACAAATTTAACATTTTTAATAAACTTTATCTCAAATTTCAAAAAAATATAACTATTTGTTTTTCTATATGTTTCTACTTAAAGTTTATAACATTATCTTTGCACTATTTTTCCAATGTGAGTTCGTGTAACGTTTGTAAGGAAAAAATTCAAAAGTTTTACGTGAATTCTCGTAAATAAAAAATTTTGTTGAAAAATTAAAATCGTTTTTCCATTTGGATTTAACTTAAATATTCTTAAAATTCAATCGAATTTAAGTTTAGGTGAGACTATTCTCACCTCATTTAATTTTTTATTATCAAACTACTAAGTCTACCCATCTTATTAGTAACTAAGTTCCCCCATGCTACATACACCCCATTTTATAAGTAAACTCATATTATATTTTATTATAATTAGGGTTTCATTCTTTATTTTATTTCATACACTCACACAAATACTTTTTTAATATATATTTTTTTAGTAAGAGACAAATTAGTATTACTTCTTAATTTAATTATAGTTTGATTTCCTGTTTGTTATATGAATTTTTATTATGTTCGGTATATTTTAATATCTCTGTCAAGTTTAATAATTTTATATTTAAAATTTATATGTGTGTATATATATGTATACTTTCAGATTATTTGTTCTTTTTTTTATCTTGTTTAGGTTTTGCATTTATGCTCGCTATTTTTTTTCTTATTCGATTTTGTGTTTGTGTCTGATACTTTTTTTTCATGTCCAATTTTGTGTCTTGTGGCTTTGTATTTTGTAGTTTTGTTTATTGTTTTAATCTTTGCCCAATTTTTTTTTCTTTCTTGTTTTCGGTTTGCTCCTTTCTCTCTTTCTTTTCCTTATTTCATTCTTTTCTTTTAAAGGGAGTGTATGTAGCATAGAGTTGACTTAGTTAATAATGAGGTGAATATAAAAAGAATGACTTTAATAGTTTGATAATGAAAAATTAAATGGGGTGCAAATGGAGATTTAGAGTTAGGAATAGCCCATCCTTTAAGTTTAACTAATAATTTATACTTTATACTCAACAGTAAAAATTAGCTCAATTAAAGTCTTAATCATAATTACGTCAAATCAAGAATTGAATTTAAGTTCGATTCAATTAATAATTCTATCTTAAACCTACAAACTAATTTTTATCTATTCTTGTTCACCGAGATGCCATAACTTTTTTTTTTTTAATTTAGTTATTCTTTATTACTTTTACAATCAAATTTAATTTAACTTCAACTTGAATACTTGTAAAATTTAAGAAAATTTAAATTTAAGCAAGAATATATACTTTATACTTAACAATTAAATTCAACTCAATTTAAATCATAATCATAATCACTTCGAACCAATAATCAAGTAAAATGAAAGAATGCTTATAATTTTTGGGTGGAAAAAAAATTAAAGGAGGAATTTCGATCGTTTGATTAATAATTTTAATCTGAGCCACGAAAAACTCAACACAAATAATTCTAACTATCTTAGTATATAGATATATCACAAATTACATATATATTATTCGCCTATTATATCATTCGAATATTATTGTATTTTTATTTTAATACAAAATATGACTTATATTATAGTCATTCGACTCGTTTTAAATGCAAAAAATCTATATTTAAAGTTTATTTGTTTATTTGAAAATTTTAAAAATAATTTTTAATTAGAATCATAATTAACAACCTAATTAGTGTATAGTATGAGATAGAGAGAAATAGAGAGTTATAAGAGAGATAGACGTCTTAGAATTGTGGAAGAAATGAAAGTCTTACTTAAAAAATTAGAGAAAATTTTTTGCATTAAGACCTAAAAATAATCTTTAATTAAAATTATAATTAATGAACTAATTAATGTGGAGTATGAGATAGAGAGAGAAAGAGAATTATAAGAGACATGAACGTCTTAAAATTTTGAACGGAATAAAAGTTTTGTTCAAAAAATTAGGGGAGAAATTTTTCATTAGGACTGTTAGATCAATATTTTTTCAAGCAATTTGAGTCTCAAAAAGTTAAAAATAAAAAAATTTAATTATTTAATTATATAGATATAAATATTCAACTCATTTATTTATAGGTAAATTAAACAAATTAATGAGTTACGGTAATTATATCCTGTTGCAATGAATATTTTTTCTTTATTAGGAGGAGTATCAATGTGTGACGTGTGAATATCAACATGATACGAAACTAACACACGGCACGACTCTATCAATAATCACCTGGGTGCTGGTTCGGACTGCAATTTCGGAGAAGTTAGTTTAGTCGGACCGACCGACCGACCGAACGACACACACCTATTCTTTCAAGATATTCATTTTCTGAATTCTTCAAAGCGTTTATGTTTGTTAATTGTGAAACACTTCTTCATCAATTGATTGTCACTTTTCATCTGCCTCTCCTCTCATCTTTCGTAATAGGTAGGTATAAACATTCTCTCACTCTTCTCTTTTCAATCCACAGTTTTGTTTCAAATTCCTCTGCCTCCCTCTGTTGTTATTCATTCATTGAACTCTGTATAGCTTTTGTTCAGAGAGAGGAGAGTAGACAGACACAGAATGAAGTTTTAAGGATCGTTTACAGGCTAGGAAATTCTAGGGTTTGGGTGGTGAATTGTGATTTTTGAAGTGGAGACGATTGATTTGATTGCGTGGTGATGACGTGTGTATTGAATGATGAGGACGAGGGTGGGGAGGTGCCGGTGTTGAAGCTGAGGGATGGGGATTCCAATGGGGACTATTATGTCGAACTGAAAGGATCAGAAGAGGGTTTTCGCGGAGGGGCCCAATGTTCGTCTTCTGGAGTGATGATCAACAGTAGATGGTGGTGGTGTCTTTGGTGGTGGGCGAAGCTCGTGTTGGTGTTCACATTCTTGGGGGTTTTGGCCGCTGTTTTCCTCATATGGGTCGCACCCTTCGTCATGGATAAGGTCACTATTAATTGCTCTGCAGATTTTTATCTGGTTTCTGAGATTCTATTGAAGATTAAATTTTATTAGCGTAAACTGAGACCTGTACTTTTGGAAATTAGGTACCAGTAACTTCTCATAAATGCTTTGATATAGTAGGAATCTGATGATCAATAAGAATAAGGTGACATCATTTTGCCCTTCTTGATCATCGTTAACTTACAAATTTGCATAGTCTAAATATCCCGATCGTTCATAATAATGAAAACCCTGCTAGAGGCCTATTGTTTTCTTTTCTTTTCTCTCATTTTTCCATTTTCCTTCCCATAATAGCAAGTGTGGCTATGATTGCAAATACTCCTTTGCTATTTTAAGTGTTCTGACCGTTGACTTCTGTGTTGCAGGAGATCATTCCTATAATAAATTGGGAGACGGCAACATTTAGTACACCAGTGCTAGCGCTTCTATTGTTTGCTTCTGTGGCATTTTTCCCTGCCCTACTTTTGCCATCTACACCCGCTATGTGGGTGGCAGGAATGACTTTTGGATATGGGATTGGATTTCTACTTATTATTGGAGGTGTGACCATTGGCATATCGCTTCCATATTTCATTGGTTTTCTGTTCCATCATAAAATTCAAGTGCGTATCATGGTGTTTATGAATTTTTCTTCATCTTTTATGGCGAATGAAGGCTCTTTTCTCTTTTGTTCATATTTAAGATTAAAAACTTTTTGGTTTTATGCAGGATTTGTTAAAAAGATATCCAAATAAAGCATCCATCATAAGATTAGCTGGTGAAGGTGATTGGTTTAATCAGTTTCGAGCTGTCACATTAATCAGGATCTCTCCTTTCCCATACATCATATACAACTACTGTGCTGTGGCGACCAATGTCAAGTACAGTCCATACTTGTTAGGGTCACTGGTGGGAGTGGTGCCAGAAATTTTTTTGGCTATATACACGTAAGTACTCTCTCTCCCCCCTGAAATGCTTGTGTAAAACCTATATCAGCCTCTTTTTTCCTTTTTAGTTTGATAATTCTTGCCCATACAATAGTGTTCACGCACACACTGAAGAATATGATGTCTTGTTGAATTCCGATTAGTTGCAGGAATGCATATATGAACTTGCAATGTGATGGCATTGTCCTTCAATTTTCTAGGTTGCCACACTTCACAGTTTTGCATTGTTGACATGATTTTCTTTAAGTATTTATTGGAATGGACGAACTAGCATGTCATGTTCTCATTGTTTGTTATGCTTGAGTTAACAAGATTTTTGAAGTGGTGGACTTGGGTGGTAAAGTACCATCACCATCTTTACTAGATCTTCAGATCATGCAAAGGCAACGAAGATTATGGGCCATTTGTTTTTAATGGTCGTGAAAGTTATTCTTGTTTAATCGATGTAAACCCAAGTACACTACAAGAGGGATGCATATTTTCAAATAGTGTAGTGAATGAAATGTGTTGAAATTGATTGACACATTGTCCCTTGTAAGAAGATTAGTTATGTGAAAGGTATATATTAGATAGAATTATTCCTTAATTTAATAAATCTCTTCTTAGCGTAAACCCAGGAGTGCCCTCTGAAACTTGTTCCTTTGGGTATCTCACGTCCTTTTTCCCCCAATGTGTTCTTAATCTTGCTTGTCTAAAGCTTTTAAAGAGAGTGGACTTTGTGTGTCAAGTTGGAGGAACCTTCAGGAGGAGAAAAAAAGAGAAAAGGGGGGGGGGGGAGAAAAAATTTACCTCTACATGCATCTATTCTTAGAAAAAAAAACTCCCTTTCTCTGCCTGTTCTTTTACTTCTAGAAAATTCATATTTTGGCAGGTTCTCAATTGCACTCCTTGAACTTCACCACATTGAGCGAAGCAGAGGCTTCCTCAATACAGTGATGAGGTAACCAACTAAATATGTAGAACTTCCAGCCACGGAAAAATGAAGTGCCCATTTCAAGATACAGAAAAGGCCAATTACCACATTGCACTGCTTTAGATACCTCTATCTCGATGCTATGGTGGCACTGATGATTTGATTTATTGATAAGATGTGTTCTCTTTGGGAAGACTTTGTAAATGAAACAACTTAGTCTGCTGGGCTATATATCTGATCCTCCAGATTTTCTTTTCTCTGGGTTCTATTTTTATTAACTATAATGTGTCTTCTCCGGATCAGCAAGTCAAGTCTGACACTAGCACAATCTCAGTAGGAAGATACCATCTTTTGGAGGCCATACGTCAGGTCTGCTGAGGCTGATGTGTTACTTAGCCTGCTACAGGAAGAGGGGAGCTCTCTAGAAGGGCCATAGATAGCTTTTAACCTGATGCATGCCTTATGCGACCATTCCTTTAAGTCTGAGGCCTATTATTTGCTTATTTTCTTGCCCATAAAATAATTTTAATTACATTTAGACTTAAGTCTTTTATGTTAGCTGCTGCCGCTTCTTTACCCTAGGGGCATAGCATTTTGGTTTTGCAAAGTTCAATCTCCCCAGTGGAAGGATGTCTGGTCAGCTTCTCATGTTCATTTCTATGTTTTCTTCTTTTCTATCTTGTCATTTCCAGCAATGTTGTCAAGGTTTCTCTTCTTCATTCACATCGTATGTAGAAGAAGTGCAATGTTGCTCCGTTTCTTAAGTTGCTATCCATGAATAAGCAAGATGGTTCCTTTTCCTGCCTTTGCAGTTAATGTTCTCCCAACTCATGAGTGTTTTTTTGTTTTATCGTAGTGGTATCCTGATACAAACTTTGGCTGATGCTTCTCATGATCAGCATTCCCTTTCAGCAGCGCAGATAATTTGCAATGTTTTTGGTTTTTGCCTAACTGTGGCTACCACGGTGATAGTTACAGTATATGCAAAAGGGCGGCTGAAGGAATTACAGGAAAAAGAAGAGCTATTACTGCTGTAAGCTTTTCTATCATTCTTCTTTTGGTCATGGCAGGAAATCATCTGCTTGCCACCAAGTCAGTTTCGATTTGCACATATGATGGGGATGCATTGGTGTATGGGGTTTATTTATTGATCTGCTACATCCTTGGAAGATTGATGGACAATTGTACTCTTCAATCTATTCATTTTGAAGAGTACAATTGTTGGTGAATCTCTCTCTCTCTCTCTCTCTCTCTCTGGGTTCTATTATTTGATGTAATTGAATGGCTGCTTCAAATGTTTTAATTGGATTCAGGTGCAATTATCCTAGACTTTGATTTACCAGTTTGTGCTGTATAGAAGTTGTAGACTTCAGAGTCTTCTGAGAGCATACGTATATTTGTATGGTCCATGGTCCCTATAATTTTTATATGAGAGGACTTTTCCCAACTAATGTACAAGGAAGTTGAAACACACTTTTATTAGAAGTTGCCTTCTTTGGTTTCCCAGCCAATGCTTGAGCAGAAATGTGTTATTACGCGTGGGGGACTCTTATTTGGTCTGTCAATGCTAAATTCCTAATGATATCAATTCATCACCTTCTGACTTCCACCTTCATCACTTTTATGCACCACTGCAACGTGAACATATACTTAAGTGGGTCTCATCAAATAAAATATATTAAATATTCAACATGATTGTGCTTCGTGCGTGCGTCTTTGCATTTTAGAGAATGGGAAATAAATTAAAAAATAGGCGCTTTTCCTCTGGACAAGCAAAGCAGCTCCTTATTCCAGTCCACGAAGTCCGTACAAATCATTCTGGAACCTGGGTCCTGGTCCAACGACCACTTCCATATCAGCTAACAGTGAAAATTTCCATCAGCTGCCTAATAACGGCTCGAATCCGATCCAAACTAACCAAGTTAAGATTGAATCTTTTTCAATACGAACATGAAAATAATGGCTCGTTAACACAAATAATAAATAGATAAAATTATTATCGAACATAAATAATTTAAAATTCAAACCCTAATTATTATACCAAGAGTTGGTGGTGCGTTGAGCAGTAACGGGTCCTAGACAGTAAAATTTTAGTTCACAAATTTAAATTTAGGAGAATTTAAACTAACACAACCTTGAGATGGTTTAATTATACAGTGTCGTTGGGCCTTCGGGTCTCCATGTAACCAAGAAAAGAGTACAGTTTACGCCTGGAGTTCTTTTCTTGGCAAGGAGAAAATTTCGGTTGTGCACTTGCCGAATATAGACAAATTTATATCGTTCATACTTGTAAGTTTGAGTATAATCAAAGGTAAATTTTGAATGCATAAACCAATTTTTTAATTTATATATCAATTAAATTAGAACTTACATTTTAATAAAAAATTGAATTCATATCAAATTATGAAAATGATTAGTTCAGATAATTGAGATTTATCTTTCGAACTAATTACGTATTTTGTCGGAGAGACTGAGAGGACAAGGAGGCAAATTCCGTTCGTCACGCGTGGAGTTAATCAGTAAGGGAAGGTAGCCCACATCCAGCCTTCTTTATCCTGGTCCATCTAGTACGAACAGGGGGCAGATGTGACCAACCATGCAACTGCAGAGAAATCTGACATGTCAGTAGACCTGCAGTCTTGCTTTAAAACCCCCCCCTCCCCTTTCTCTCTCTCTCTCACACACAACAGTGTTAAAACATGATCAGTTTCTTATTACCCTCGTGCTCAGATCTTTAAGGGTGTTTGTCTACGAGGTAAGGAAATGGAAACCCAGAGACCACCCTCCAAGATTGCTCGCTTTGCACAACATGGTACTCTCTCTCCTCAGCACAAACTCAGAATATCTATATTTCCTTCATTGCTTTCTTCTCATTTCATCACATTTTTCACTCTCATTCTTATGAATTCACAGGACCCATGAAGAGAAATGGGTCAATTGGAGGAGAAGGGTCTCACCCAACTGGACTAGGACTGGGTCTTGAACTTGGTCATGGACTCGGCTGTTATGGGTTCACTGTTCTTCAGTTACAGGAGCTAGAGCACCAAGCTCTCATCTTCAAGTACATGGAAGCTGGCCTTCCGGTTCCTCATCATCTCATATTCCCAATATGGAAAAGTTTTGCCAGGTCTTTGAATGCTCTCAATAAAGAAGTGTACCAACATTGCGCTAATTGTAAGTCCCTTTAAGAATTCTTTATCTGGTTGATAATCATTTATCTACTGGATTTTTGTTTACAAACAAAAAATTGTATAAAACAGCATATGGGTTTGAACAGGAACATGATCGGTGAAATTAAAATGGGTAAGAAAACAGGGAAAATTTAGGTGGCGTTCGGCAACGTTAATGTTTTTCGTTTTTTGTTTTTATTTGGATATTCAGATGAAATAAGAAAAAAAAACTTGTTGAATAATTATTTCTATTTTTTTTTTCTGTCGGGCGATTTTTAAAAATGAGAAAAGGATATTTTTTATTTTTTCATTTTATTTTTCGTTTTTTAGAAATTCAAAAATGGTAACCGTTACCGAACGGCACCTAAATGGTAACAATATCAAACCGATTTCATGGTAAACTTTTTCCCTTTCTTGTGTTTTTTTGCAAGGAAACAGTTCATTAAAATGATTGATAAATTAGAAATAATAAGAAAACAGGGGGATAAATTAATAATTCACACTTTACAAAACTGAATTCATGGGAAACTTTTTACCTTACTGTGAGAAAATCCATCCAATGCAAGAAAGTTTGCATCCTGTTTATTTTCCATTTCCTGCAAATAAAACTCGAATAATGCTAAACTAACCGAATAATAGGACCAAACGATGTGATGGTATAATAATTGTAAGGGGTAGAAATCGCTACGGATCTCATCCCTCCACTTGAAGGATTCCGGTTGACCTGGCGGCACCGAGCCCCAGTAGCCTTTTACCTCTCTTCGCCAATAGGATCCTTTCCTAAGGTAATCCCACATCGGAAGAGAGTCGTCTTTCCTCCTGCCATATAAGTGAACACTTCCTATGGCAGGGGGGAGACGACTCTCCTACCTCCTCCATAGGAAGTGTTCACTTATATGGCAGGGGGGGAGACGACTCTCTTCCGATGTGGGATTGCCTTAGGAAAGAGTCCTATTGGCGAAGAGAGGTAAAGGCTACTAGGAGGTCGCCCGCGTGGGTTAACCCAGGTCAAGCCGAAATCCTTAGTAGAGGGTTCTACCCCTTACAATAATGATGGTTTTAGTCTCACTTTTATTCGGTTAAAATCCGAGTTTTACTTCCTATGTTAGCTGACACATCATTTAGGTTATGTATTTAGTTTTATTATTTGATCAACGTAACATTACTTAAAAAACCCCAATTAGTATTTTCCTGCCAAAAGGACCCTTATTATGCCTAGTTGTTATGCTTGGATATCACAGTTCTGGGCTGCGGTACCGTGTATAGTGACTACTACACAAACAGCATGGACCCTGAACCAGGGAGGTGTAGGAGAACAGATGGGAAGAAATGGAGATGCGGTAATAGTGTTGTTCCTGATCAAAAGTACTGCGAGAGGCACATGCACAGAGGCCGTCAGCGTTCGGGAAAGCAGAGAGAAGAAGCTTCACAACTTTCTACTAGAACGAGTCATGACACCACAGAGACAGGCCTCTCCATTTCTCTCCCAACAGCTAAGTAATAATAACAGCAACAAGAACAACATTTCTCCATGGCTAGGCTTGTGTTCATCGAGTGTTCTGCAACAAATGAAAATGCATGATCTTTGTAGCACTTCTTGTCCTAACAGACTATTGCTTGTTGAAAGTATGGACCCATGGCTTAACCATTGATCACATGTAGCTTTGGAAGGAGATCTCAGAGACTGGCTTTTGATGATTTATGCTATTTATTTGTTTCTTATTTTATGGTTAGTTTTGTTTTCTTGTTCTAGTCGATTTGAATTCAATTCAAATCTAACCCGAATTATTTAGTATTGAAAGAAATATATCCAAAAAATTCCGACCTGATTTGAATTTGAATAGTATATGTGTTGATGTCTTGGATTTTTGAGACTAAATTCAAACCAACCAATAATTAGTGAATTCGAGTTTAACTCGAGCTTCAGCCCTAACGGTGTAACTTCAGAAATAAATCCGAATTTCAATCTAGATATTACACCAAAGAATTGAGTTTGGTTCAACTTTTCTTCCTTGGTGCTGATTTTTTTTTTGGTGATTTAGCAAGTGACAACTATGCAGTATATTATCCGGCATGGGTAATTTAGTGGTGTGGAGTTGAACTTGGAATGTACCGTAGACTTGAACGTTCTGCATGATCCTCGTTTGTGATTCTTGGGTTTATTTGATACTCATGATTTGCGTTTGATTACATGTATCTAAAATTTACTTTTTCAGGGTGAGTCTAACGTGATCTTACCTTGGAAAAGTTCTACAAAAAAAAAAACAAAAAACATTGCATTAGGATTTGTATAACAAATATGTTTTAGGCGTGTTATCATTAAAGGAAATAGAGGGAATGTATGTAGGGGTTTCCGTTCCCAAAATCTTTATCTTTCAATTCTAGGAAGAAGAAACATCACAAGTATTATTGTTGGCTCCATTTTCCCCTTTAAAAAGGGTTGGTAGCTTGGTTGGTATGTCTACCATGTGACAAATAATGTAACTTTGTTTTTCGTTAGTTTAGTAATCATGTTACGTCAGATTCACTTTAATTACAAAACAAATGACTTAAAAAAAAAATCAATTTTTACATTAAATCAATTTGAGTAAAATTCTAAAAACTCACCAGATTTTAGGGAAGAACAAAAATTGTGCCGCCAGTTTATTACCAAAAAAAAAAGAAAAGAATTTAGAGCATCTCTAATTTTGACTCAAATATAGACTTAAATTTAAATTTGAGTCAAAATGACTTGAAAAACTTCTCTAACCTTGGAGTTAAATCTATATCAAATTAAGACAAAACTTATTCTAGACCTAAATTGAAGTAAACTCAAATTCTATACTAAATTTTTAGTCGTAACTTTTTAACCTATCCAAAATTAAAAAATTTGTTCGACTATTTGTTTTCTACCTCTTCTGGCTTCTCTCTACTACGCTGTTTTGCCGATCACCATCGAAACTTTTACAAATCATTTAAAGGCCTGTAGATAAGTTTTTTCTTTTTCATTTTTTATCTTCTTGATTTATTGTATTTTTTAAAATCTTAATCTCACCTATTTTTCATACTATATAAACCCTAAACTTGCTCATCAAATATTTTTTTAATTTTTTTGAGTTAAATATTATCGGTAGTATAATTTTGGACTACCAATTTTTCTTGAAATTTTAAATCTTTACTTTTCACAAATTTAGAAAATTTGTCATTTTATTTTTTCAATCTTCCATTTTTGTTAAAAACGTATGTTTTTGTATTCTTCAGACTAAGTTCATGTCAAAATAGTTATATTTTTTCTTTTTCTTTTTCTTTTTTGGATTTATAAAAAATGATAAGGGATTAAAATAATGTTAGAATTCTTGGGTGATTTCTTTATTCTCATGTAGTGTTGTAAACATATTTATTTTTTAAAATTACTCATTTGTGGAGAAATATAAATTTTTTATTTATTTATTAAATATCGTAATTTGAATGACACATAAAAATGAGTTTTGGCATCATAAAATTTTTTTTTAAAAGATTTGAATATTCTATATCAAATTAATTTTTTTACTCAAATTTAAATTCAAAAATCTAAATTTAAATTATGGCTAGAAAAAAAAAATCATGGCCAGAGATCCTCTTAGACAATAAAAACAGACCACCCCATTGGCCACCATAGATTGCCAGACACCACCTATTTCTTTACACGTGTCAACCGTTCATGCTAGCATTCATGAGAACAACTCTAATCATATTATCTAAAATAGATACTCAAAATACATTTAAATATTATATTATCTAGTTTAACTAATCAATTTTTTAAATTCACTACAACTACGTTATCTATTTTATCTAATCACTTTAACTAACTTTAACTAACTTTTAATAATAAAATTCAAAAAATAATAATTCAACTATATATTGTATAAATTTAATCAATTATGGACTATAAGAATAAATATCATAAAAGATGAGCTATAAGAATAAATATCATAAAATAAGAGCTCATCACATGTGCTTAAACAAAAAAATGATACACCCCCTCTTCCTCACTGCTTGCCACCGCCTCTTCAATTCCACCACCGCCCACCCAACGCCCTCTATTTTAGCAGGAGAATTCGGAGAAGGCTTGGGCAGTTAATGAGGAGAGCCACAATCGATTTTTTATCTTCCTGAAAACCCTAAATCAGGAGCCACAAAAACAGAACTAAAGAATCAATGATTTTTGGTCTTCTCATTTGTTGATATGGGAACCACAATCGGTGAACCACAAATCAAGAGAGAACCCACCTCTTTTGAAGTCGAACACGCCACAATCGGTTGAAATCGAACACGTCACAGAACTGATCTCCTGAAAACGCCAAATCTCATTTTTGATCATTTTGATCGATTTTTTGTTATCAAAATTGATGGAGTTTATGTGAGTGAGAGAAATAGAGAGAGAACATACTAGACGCTAGAATCTATTACCAATTTATCTTATTTATCAAATTTATTTATCAATCTACTGTCATTTTTAATTTATTTATCAAACTATCGTTGTTTTAAAAGCGGATTTGGCAAATCCAACTTTATGGGGAAAGCGGATTTGACAAATTCGATTTTATAGGGAAAGCGAATTTGGCAAATCCGACTTTATAAGGAAAGTGAACATACTGACTTCATTTAGAAAGCAGATATATCAAATCTGTTTTTTGTCTCAACTAGTAATTTTTAATATTTCATCTAATTTTCTTACTAGAATACCACCCAAAATTCATGACTTTATATATTTTCTTTCTAAAAACTAAATCACTTATTTTTATCATATTTAATTATTTAATATTTGATTAATTTGTAATTAATATATTTTAAAAAATTTAATATAGTGGGATCGATTTTTTAAATGCTCGAATTCTATATTTTATCGTGCCTTCAGGCACGGGTTATAACTAATAAATTTAGATAAAATCTATTAGTGGATTTTTAACTACTAATAAAGGTGAGTAATTTATTTACAAAGAATATAGAATTAAATAGATCAAACGTATTCAATAAATAGTCAAATACTCTTTTGGTGATCAACACAACTATACATGTAAATGTTTGCACCTTGGTAAGTCTGCTTTTCATATAAAGACGGATTTGATATGTCCGCTTTTCATATCAAGACGGATTTGGCATGTCCGTTTTTCCTATGAAGTCGAATTTGTCAAATTTGCTTTCCCCATGAAGTCGGATTTGTCAAATCCCTATGAAGTCGGATTTGTCAAATCTATTTTTAAAACAGCGATAGTTTGATAAATAAATTGAAAACGACAATAAATCAATAAATAAGTTTAAATTGGTAATAGATTCCCAGACTCGGGATGAAGACGATCTATGGGCAGGCGAAACTGTGAATAGCTAGTATTCTTCTATCGCCAGATCTAATGAGCCAATATAAAAAAATGGATAATACGGAATGAGATATATAATCGGTTAAAACCAAAATTTATGAACTAATTATCTAAAATAGCTAAGGAGCATCTTTCAACTATCCTATTAGTAATGCCCTTGTATAAGCGACCAAAGCGACCCATGACCCAATACAATACCGACAGTACTTGACTGCATTAAGCTCGCGTCACAAGAAATTCAGTCCAATAATTTTTCATTATTATTTGAGAAAATGACACTTTAGACCCCTAAAGATCTCTATATCTTTAATTTAAATTTTAAAAGATTAAAAATTCCCGTATTGCATCTTGAATCAAATAAAAAAAAAACAATATTCTCCATTTTCAAAACACTGATATACCAAATTTCTGTTAAAAATATTTAAAATTAAATATTATGCAAATAATTTAATAGATAAATAAGATAATATGACAAACATAATAAAAATAATTGTCAAAAAAGGCAACAAATATTTGTTTTGGTATAGTGTAAGGATTTTGATTTTTTAGGGTACAAATTGAGAATTTTAAATTCTGTGAGGGTACAAAGTGTCATTCATTCTTATTATTTTATTCCCCAAATTCTCATCCGACGTCCCACATCGCCTCTCTCCCCACAAATCTAAACAGATACCGTCCGATCAGATCTACAACTCTTCATCCCTCTCGCCTCCACTGTACTTTATCACCACTCTCACCTCTCTCCCCGGGATCCAAATACCAATTTCTGTCGTTCTCTCTCTCACTCTCTCTCTCCTGGTTTTTTGGTCATGGTGGAGGTACAGTCATGGACAACACGCAGGGGAAGCAACCCCAGACTGGAGTCCAACGAGCAACTTCTGGACATTCCATCAACACCCACCGCCGATGTTCGGAACGGCAACAACACATCAATTTTCTCTCCGACCATTGTAACAGCAGCCATTATTGCTTCATGGTATTTCTCAAACATTGGTGTTCTGTTACTCAACAAGTACCTCCTCAGCTTCTACGGCTATCGTTATCCAATCTTCCTCACAATGCTCCACATGATCTCTTGCTCCATCTACAGCCTCATCGCCATTAAATGGCTCGAAATCGTTCCGTTTCAACAGATCTCTAGCCGCAAACAGTTGTTTAAAATTCTTGCTTTAAGCGCCATTTTTTGCTTTTCAGTTGTTTGTGGAAATACCTCTTTGAGATATCTTCCTGTATCGTTTAATCAGGCGATTGGTGCTACAACCCCATTTTTCACTGCCATTTTCGCATTTGTAATCACTTGTAAGAAGGAAACTGGAGAGGTTTACCTCGCACTTCTTCCAGTAGTTCTGGGTATTGTTTTGGCGAGTAATTCTGAGCCATTGTTTCATCTTTTTGGATTTCTGGTGTGTATTGGCTCCACCGCCGGCCGAGCATTGAAATCCGTTGTTCAGGGTTTGTTATTAACTTCCGAAGCTGAGAAGTTACATTCTATGAATCTATTACTGTACATGGCTCCGATGGCGGCGATGATATTGTTACCATTTACCTTATATATAGAAGGGAATGTGACGGGGATTACCGTGGAAAAAGCTAGAGGGGATGGTTTCATGGTGTTCTTGTTAGTTGCTAATGCAACTGCGGCGTATTTGGTTAACTTGACTAACTTCTTGGTGACGAAGCACACGAGTGCTCTGACGCTGCAAGTCCTGGGGAATGCCAAAGCGGCTGTTGCGGCGGTGGTGTCCGTTTTGATATTTAGGAATCCGGTGACGGTGATGGGGATGACGGGGTTCGCCGTCACCGTGATGGGTGTGGTGCTTTACAGTGAGGCTAAGAAGAGGTCTAAAGGTACAGCTCATTGACAGCAATTATGGGGTCCATCTGATGCTGCCGGAGGCATTTCCACGGGTGTGGCTCTTTTTCTTTGTTATATGCTTTCTTTTTCTTTAATTGGGAATTTAATGGATGAAAAGAAAGAGAATTGGGATCAAAAGTGAGTTGATTAATTGATTCGATTGTATAGGAACGTGGGGTAGGGAAAAGGGTTGTGTCTCTTTTTTTGCTTTACATAATTGTTCTTGTTAGGGGTAGTTTAAGAGAACAAAGTTCTCTCTTTTACTTTCCCCTTTGTTTAGTTCCATCCATCAGATATAATTTTTGGTTTAATTTGTGGGGTTAAATCACCCACTTCATTTTTGTTAATGACATCCTCTGTTGCCTATTTTGCTGCTATAGCTATGTAATCCCATTCTCTTTTATATGTGGATATATGCTGTGTAATCATTCTTTGAATTGCTAGATTGTTTTTATGGGTTCTTTATGCAGTTAATTGGATACTTAATGTAGATTTAAAAGGAATCCCTTTTCATGACATAAAACTAGAAAAAAAAGACATATCAGTTGTGCTTGAAGAAATTGATCTCATGTATTTTACTTGGCAACTAAACATATATCGTGATTGGTCTGTTTCCTGTAGTGGCCCCTTAATTCATGATTTTGAGTGTAAATATGGAACAATGTGAGTCATGTGATTTAGAAATCTGTTGTTTCTTAGTATTTTGACTAGCTTTTAGATCTGTAATGATCCACGATGTTGCCATGAACAAAAGGGAAAGGCAAGAACAGTTTGCAATCTTATTCAACCATTCCAACTGGAAAGTTAATGTAAGATTCCAAATTTCTATTGCGGGCTAGGGAGTTGACTGAGTACGAGTTAAATTGCACTACCTTTATCATGGCTATTAGGAGATAATGTACTAATCTGATATAAATTTTTCCACTTACTACTCAATCATGTTGGGAATAAGAATCATTGCGTGTCTTCTGTTGAATAACTGTGGTGACATTTACCTTCACCAGACTGCCAGAGTCATTTCTGGCAGTTTTGGAGATCTCTCTTAAATTATGGAAAACTAGTTTCCCTTGCGTAGGCTGATGAATATGAGATAGTATGAGTATATATTGACGATTTCATGGTAGACTTTGTAATTGCCTCTTTCCCAATAGTGAATCCTTTGAACTCTGAACATTTAAATGTGAACTTAGTAAATGTTGTAGCATTAAGTGGTTTAATGATCAGTGAGTTTGTGTATTATTCTTACGGAATATTTGTTGGATTTCCTCATATAGAATTGGTTGGTACAGACATTTGCTATGATCGTACTCATACTCATATTGTGATTTGCTATGAATATGAGATAGTATGAGTATATATTGACGATTTCATGGTAGACTTTGTAATTGCCTCTTTCCCAATAGTGAATCCTTTGAACTCTGAACATTTAAATGTGAACTTAGTAAATGTTGTAGCATTAAGTGGTTTAATGATCAGTGAGTTTGTGTATTATTCTTACGGAATATTTGTTGGATTTCCTCATATAGAATTGGTTGGTACAGACATTTGCTATGATCGTACTCATACTCATATTGTGATTTCCTTATATTGCATGAAAACATACAACACGTGTTTTTCCTTTGTTTCGGCTTTTGTGGTCACTGAACCATGACCATGAGCAATGGGATAATACCTCTGTTCTGTTGTTATATGATTAGTTTCACATTCCCTTGTTCTCCAATCTTTACATATGGCAGCACTTCTGCAAAGACTTTCAAAGTCCTTAGGCAGTGAATATGAGGTTTGGAAGAGAGTAGGAACTCCTGTTCTTGCTGTAATTGTTGCGTACATATTTATTTTTTTAATTTTTCGGTTCCAGTAGATAAGTATATGGCCTAATTTTCCTGCAAATCTGGAGTAATCTACGTCTGCAAATACAAGTAACCTAAGCTTTTATATAATCATATTACCAGACTACAGTTGAACTGGCCATAGCATCAACTACAAAGATAACGATGTTTGGTTAGAAACTTGGTAATGATTGAACTCAGTACCAAACATCAATATTATTCTGCAAAAAGATGTGCATTGGCCTTTCTTTTATATATGACAAAGAATTGTCAAATTTGCAATTTTCGGGCTTATGGCTTTTACGGACGTCTATTGCAATACTCAAAACTTGAAATCTCGAGTTACAGATGTCGTCCGAGTTACCCTATTGCAATACTCAAATTTGCATGTGGCATTGGCCTCTTTTGAAGTTGATCAGTGTTGCATTCACCATCCATTGCAAGAAAGAGCCCCAAAGTTTGGTAGTATGCTTACTGTTAGAATAGATATGTAAGCATATCTTAGCTTAGCTGTTATGCCTTTGATTTCATTGTGTGGTGGGAGTGTGACATGGTCCACATCACATGGAGAAACGCAAGTTGCCATGAACTTTAGATGGTGGTTGAGTTGAGACATTCCTGTCAGCCTACTTGCTCATATTTAATGGATTAGTTGAAGAGTATAGTGTAATAACTCCTTCCTTATGTAGAGTATTTTACAATTGATTTAATTGAAGGTTTCAGATATAATGAATTTATAATTTTTTTTCAGTTTTTAAGGTGGAAAAAAGATGAATAATTAATTGAATATGAAGATCCGGAAGAGCCGGTTGTTGTGGATGAAGAAGTTCATGCTTCTATAGCATTGTATAGTCGTTTTTGTTTTGGGGGTGAAATTTTCTTATCTAACCGAGTGATAGGGCTCCGTAAAATTGATCATTACGAACGTTACGATTGGAAGGTTTAATGTGTTTCGAAACCCTCCTCCTCCTTTATCTTTCTACTCTTACATTGAGAGTTGGAGTCTCAATCTGCTCTTGTATTACTTGAAAGGAAGTCTAAAAATTTGATTTAATTTGTTGATCTAATGATGTGATTTCGTTATAACTATTGTATTAACATCAATTTTTTATGTTTGATAGGGCCCACAATCAATGTAATTGTTATAATAAATTAAGTCACAATAACATTATTCCACTTAAAAAAGTGGGTTTGCATGGATTCATGTCAATTTTAAGCTATTTGAATTAGAACTAAACCCATTTTTTTTTTCGCTCAACTAAATTCACTATACATAGGTTCCTCGTGAACAAAAAATCTACAAGATAAATATTCTAGAAAAATAAAATTTCAAAAACACTTTAATTCCAAGATAGTTCATTATATGACATCAAGAGAATAAAAAAAAAACAGTCAAATAGGTTTGTCACGTTAAAATAAGCTATTCACGGTATTATTTATCCGACCTATTTATTATTTTTGTATATTTGTGGAATCATTTGATTATGTCTTGTTGGGTTCAGTTATGCAACAGCCTACTTTGGCATCCTCAATTGGAGTTGTTCTTCTGTCTGTTGTAACGAGGGGGTCAAATCATTTGTAATTTTGTAGTAGAGAAATTAGGTAGTTTTTTGTCCACCTTTGACCAGAAAATAGTGGATATGAACAGAGAGTAATGCTTCCAGTTGGCAATGCAATTATGCTTCTTAGTATACAGAATCAGCATTCGTGCTTCCCATTAAAAACAAACTATGGGATAATACCGTTTAAGCTTCTATATATTGCCGTTGGAATTTAAACTCAATCTTTTTAGTTATCACCAATAAGAGTTTGTTGGATAATTAATGTGAGAATTCTATATGAAATATGAATAGAGTAATACTACACTGACTAAAATTTGGGATCAAATTTAAAACCCATATGACATGAAAGAATTTTAATGTATTATAAATAAACATATTAGACATGCGATAGAAAAAATAAAGATCAAGTTGTATCTAAATAGATTTGTGTTATATTATTTTATCCCTATAAATAAGGTTGAATATTATGTAATAAGTTACAAGATGACCAGATTTTAGTGAATAATATATCGATGTAGATTCTTGCTCTGGTCTGTAGATGTAGAGTATTATGTAATCACTTATTAGATAACCAAATTTCGGTGAATAATATATCGATATTGATTCTTGGTCCGTAGATGTAAGTACAGTATACCAAAGTAGGTATGCGAACCACGTTATATTTTTGTGTTATGTTTTTATTGTTTTTCTATACTGTAATTTCTATTTTTTAACAAATATTATTTGTGTTAGTTATCCACCGTACAAAATTAACAATTGCGGTCCGTATGTTGCGTTTTTGAAACGTAATTGCCGATAGGGACGAAATTAGGATTGTGTTTTAAAGGGGCCAAATGATAACATTAATTAAAAATATATTGGATTAAATGCAAAAAATACTTCTGTATTTAAAGTCATTTACACATAATTTCCTCGTAATTTTAACAGTTGTACTAAACTTCCTCAACTTAAAAATAAAGTGTAAATATTTTAAATAATTATTCAATAATTTATTGTGAATGATTAACTTTAAGCTGCATAAACTCTATGAAAATTAATTTTAATTAAGTTGGTATTTTTTGTTCAAATAACATTTTCCCAAGATTATTAGCGTAAAGTTTCATTTTTGTTTTTTTGTATATTGGTTACTTGGGAGTTTACTTGGTGAAAAAAAGTTTGGGAGATTCTTTCAAAGGGGTTCCTTTGCAAAAAATCAAACTCAAGAAAGTATTATGGATGAGGAGATTTCTCGTTGAATTGGGTCTGAGCTAGATTGATTACGTAGTTTTCTCCGAACGTTATTGATCTGTGCTATAATATTTCATTTTATAGAATTTGCCTCCAAGTGTATCTTACCCATAAGTATTACTAAGCCCGAGTGTGACAGGCTTATAAATTTCAAAGAAAAGGGTGAACGTCCAGCGACTATTTCAATAGACCCTCACCGGTGGGATAGTAAAGTCCTTGATCGCGCCTGAAAGACATTTCGGGATCAGATCTAACTAGACTAACATAGCGGTCAATCAACAAGTCTCAATGAAGACTCCAAGGCTCGAACTCTCAACCTCAAGGTGAGAAGTAAGATCGGTACCTCATTAGTATTTTTAGTACTAGAATCTCACTATATATTGTTATCAATATCTGGATATGATCTTACGATACAAAATCTTTGTAAAATGTTGATTAATTATAGTGGATTAATTCCAGGTATATCGTAGCGTGCTTGTGATTTTTCAGATGTTTTATTTACTGTTCGGTTTTTTTGAGTTGTTGGTTGAATGATTAAAGGTGAGATGATCATCGTATCAACTGATTTTCATTAGGGCATTCAAGCGATTGGTTCATTCGAATGGTGTTATTACAATGAATAACATTCGTCTGTCATTAGATCAATCATTGTTTTTATTGACATGCTCATTCGAATGGTGTTGTTGATGTCAAAATGCACACGTTTTTCTCTTAATTGTGCTCGATAGGATCTGTTCTTATACGAAGAACATGTCAATAACAGTGTTGTGTTCTTCCAAAGTAAACTTGCAAAAATAGGCTCAAACAAACTACAGAATACTGGAAACACAAATGATTTGTTACAAATGGAAATACAAACCAGTTCTTCGGAAATGAAACAATGTAAACCTTACAAATCCTAATTCATCGTGTGATAACAAAGAATTAGAAAGAACGACTATGTAAAATCTAGTCCAACCCTTAGAACTTGATCATCCTGATCACACCAAATGCAGTGACGATCAACCCAAAATATCGAGATGGAACGATTCCACTGGCTGCTGAAGTGGGCGTGGTAGGAGCAGTTGCAGGAGCCAGAGTTCCCATTCCCACCTGAGGTAAAACAGTTATGGCGAGCTTCTGGTTTCCAGACACACAATGGCTGCCAACGCCGCAGAGGTACCATTTTCTCCCTGGTGTGCTAAGGGTAATCACATCATTTCCAGTAGTTAGAGGCTCAATGGTAGCTGGGGGTTCACACAATTGGAAGGCAGTTCCATCCACCTTATAAACATTGTGTACTCCCTGTGGGTATTTAAAAACTGCACCAAAAAGATTTGATTAGATCATTAGAAGCTGACACAGCTGAGCTATTTTTCAACTATACCTAGTCTAACAAGTAATTGTAAATAACGAAAATAAAAATGAGTAGTACAGTGCACGAGATTCTCACCATTGTGGGTGTCTATTGTTGGGATTTCTCACGATTTAAATCCACTAACAAACACACACAATCGAAGAACAAATCAAGAATATAAAGCAATAAGAAACAAGAAAGAACAAAACACAGATTTTACGTGGTTCGGCAATTTGCCTACGTCCACGAAGCTGCAGGGATTTCACTATTGAGAGAGTTGAATACAGAGAGCGGCTGTACCATCCACGATTAACCCTAATCACCAAAACAACAGGGTTTATATGTCCTACGCACTGGGCTGTATAACGGGCCCAAAAAATTTTTTCCTCGGGGGCGTTGCCCCCGAACCCCCACGAGGCTTGTCCATGAGCGCTACGGCTTGGGCCTATCGGCCCAAGCCTTCACTCCATGGACTAAGCCTCAGAAAATTCCCCATTAAAAACCACACTACATTATTTCGGGTCGGGTCATCATCCGGATCACATATACAAAACTAGAACTCCATAAAAATAAACCAACATCTATGTGGATAGTTCAGTTGTGCGCAATGTTACCATGCATGCTAAGAGATTGTTTGTGTAAAGGTCGAAAATGGAAATACAGTGATAATATATTTTCAGCGAATTAACTTACTGAGTTTGTCCCCGACATGGAATTCTTTCCCTGCAGCCCAGGCTTGGTAATCAAAATTGTTTGTCCAACCCTTCTCATCTCCAACCATAAATTCTTTTGCAAGAGTTGGAGCAACAACTGCTGCAACAATGGTGACTGCAATCAAGAAATGAATCGAGGCCATTTAGAAAATTGAGTTGAAAGAATGCTTTCTTTGCCTGATTATTATTGCTCAAGTGAGTTTGTGCCTTGGTTACAGATGTTAATACGGGTGCCCATTTATAGAGGTTTGGCATCGATTAAACAGCCGGCTAATGGAAGCATAGTGGCTACATTAGGCCACATGTGAATACAGATTTTACAAAGCTAGTGCCGGCAGCCAAATTAAAGGATAAAATGATGTTAAAATACAAATACTTGGGTCGGAGCTGATCACAGGACATGTTCTTTTGACTATGTCAAATAAATAGAACAGAAGTATCAGACAACATTGTCTGTCTTCTTGATCTAGTGTTGTAGAAGGTTAGAGTATTAGAGAGACCAATCGGCAGTGTTTCTATGCCTTTGTGGTTGAAAATTAAGGTGCATTTGGTGGGCAGATTGAAGAAAACACTTGGGTAGTTCCAAATCAAAGGAGTCCAAGGTTATGAAAAACCATTCAAAATTATCAAAAGCTAGCAGAAATTTGGACTAGGACACAAGGGGATGATCAAAGGATCATTATTTATTTAGTTTGGTCCCCATGTGTCCTCGAGGACTTGAATTCTGTGAAGAGTGGACCTGTGCTGGACAAATTTGAAGTACAGCAAGCAGTTTTTTCGTGTATGTATGGGTTGCAAGTTGCAATACTATGGCCCGTGAAATACTGAAAGCTATCATTCTCAGTGCATGGTATATTCACTTCTTCTTCCAAACTTGGTTTTTCAACATCTACAACTACAGAGAGCTTATAAACCACAAAAAAAAAAACTGTTTGATTTTGTCACGAGATATCCCTCCAGAAACCCTCTTTTTCAAAGATACTAGTGGTTCCCATTTCATCTACCAAACAAACAACCACCACCTAAAGCTCTTCTTCTTATTAGTCTTCTCGTGATCCCCCAAGACATATTAAACACATAAGAAAGACTACGATACCGACTTCTACGTACCAAAATTTACAAGTAAATAAGGTTAGTAACAATTCATTAAAAGTCAAACTGCAACTTAGTGTTGGAATTTTTTTGTGAAGGCTAGTTTGTGTTGATCCGAATAATAACTCGACCCAAAATAATGTTACGTGATTTTTTAATAGGAAGTTTTCTGAGACTTAGTCCATAGAGCGGAAGCTTAGGTCAAATTTTTAATTTTTTTTTTGGCTTGTTTTGTAGCCCGGTGTGCAGAACATATAAAAACTGTTATTTTAGTAATTAGGGTTGTATCGATACTGTACAATCGCTCTCTGTATTCGTTCTTCTCAATAGTGAAATTCCTGTAGTTTCGTAGACGTAGGTAAATTGCCGAACCACGTAAACACTCTTTTGTGTGTGTGGTTGTTTTTTCTTTGGCATGTATTTTCTCTATTTTTGTTCCTCATAAGTTTGGGAATTTCGTGCAAATTTCCTAACACTTAGAAAGGCCAATTACGATGCAAAGGAGTCAAGTTACTGATCAAAAAAAAAAAAGTGGATGAATCCTAATTGATCTTAAAGGTTAGAATCAACCCCAAACAATTTCATTTTATGGTACCATTAGCAAATTGAGTTATGATCCCGTTATTTATTTTGTACTAACATTTAGTGTAATACCGAAAAGTAAATTTTTTTTTTTACCGAAATGTGTACGTATAAAAGAAACTCAAGGCAACACCAGACCAAGGATTAAACTTGGGTTTCTTTTGCTAAACCATTGAAGAAGCATAATGGACAAGAGAGAAACCTCACCAAGTTGTCTTGAAACTCATTTTGTTGACATCCATGAAATCCCTGAAGATGAAGAAGGAACAAGTAAATTGACTGATAAACCAGAGAAGCGATTCAATAAGCACAATAAGTTCCGGGATTCGAAGAGACCACACAGGAGTTTCAGCCGGCAAGTCTCACTGGAAACTGGCTTTTCAGTGCTCAATGCAGAGTCCAAAGCCAAAGATGAGAGGAGGGTACTTTCAAGAAGTGGGACAAGTTTGGGAGGATTCGGATCGGTTCAGAGAATGGGAGCGGATGGAAGGAAAGGAGATTTCAGTATCTTTAGAACAAAATCTACCCTTGGTAAGCAGAATTCACTGTTGCCTCAGAGGAAGGAGAATGAGATGGAATACTCCCAGAAAAATGATGGCACTGGAGGGCTTGATGATGAGTCTGTTAACAGAAGTGTTCCTGCTGGAAGATACTTCGCTGCTCTAAGAGGACCTGAACTAGATCAAGTCAAGGTAAGGCATTCTTGTTTGCATGGTAGCTAGTCTATATATATTACATGTCCTAGCATTAAGGGTTGCAATTTTCCACCCATAACACGACTCAAACCCCATACGCCACACCCGTAAATGATTGGACTGGTTAACGCAAATAATAAATGCGTCGGATTAGTGTCAAATACAACTAATCCGATTTTGATACCACACAAAAGAAAATCTATCATGTTTTTTGTTTCTTGATATAGTACTTTTTAAATTAGCATAAAATCAAATGATTTGTCATTTGGTTTTGCTAGTATTTAGACCAATTAGATTTTCAGTTCATGTGGACTTGTGCATGGTGGGTGTCAACTTGAACACCACTTAAACTTACAAGTTATACGAAAACAATAACACGAAGACACGACTTAATTGCCACCGTATGCTTGGTGCATAGTTTAGAATTGAAATTCAGAGTCTTCTCCTTGAGATTCTCCCCTTGATTAAAACTTTGGTTTTTTTATATGTTGTTTATATTCGAAATTCAATAGATTCCAATGCCAAGGCGATGAAACTATGGACCCTGCTCAATTACCTCTTGCATGGTAACTTTATGTGCAGGACTATGAAGACATTCTTCTCCCAAAGGATGAGAAATGGCCGTTCCTTCTTCGTTTCCCAATCGGTTGCTTTGGTATCTGCTTAGGTCTCAGCAGCCAAGCCATCCTGTGGCGTGCCCTCGCCACAAGTCCAGCCACCAAATTCCTCCATATCACACCTTTCATCAACCTCGCACTCTGGCTCTTAGCCCTGGCAGTCCATCTCTCCGTGTCCACCACCTATTTGTTCAAATGCCTCTTCTACTTCGAAGCTGTGAAGAGAGAATACTTCCACCCAGTCAGAGTCAACTTCTTCTTCGCCCCATGGATTGTCTGCATGTTCTTAGCCATCGGAGTACCACCCATTATAGCACCCAAAACCCTTCACCCAGCCATTTGGTGCGCCTTTATGACACCCGTTTTCATTCTCGAGCTCAAGATCTATGGTCAATGGCTTTCCGGCGGAAAACGACGGCTTTCAAAGGTGGCCAACCCATCTTCACATCTCTCGGTAGTCGGAAACTTCGTCGGATCTATTTTGGCTTCCATGGTGGGGTGGAAAGAGGTTGCTAAGTTCCTGTGGTCGGTGGGTTTTGCGCACTATCTGGTGGTGTTTGTGACTTTGTATCAGAGATTGCCGACGAGTGAAGCGCTGCCTAAGGAGCTACACCCTGTGTACTCCATGTTCATTGCAGCTCCATCTGCGGCAAGCATTGCTTGGGAAACCATCTATGGTGAGTTTGATGGGTTGTCGAGAACTTGCTACTTCATTGCATTGTTTCTCTATATTTCGCTGGTCGTCCGAATCAACTTCTTTTGGGGTTTCAGGTAAACTTTTCCTCTAAATTGGCGTTCCTGCGCTACAGAGTATTCTATTACGACGGAAAAATTACATTTTGATCCCTCAACTATGCATTATTGTCATATTACTCCCGCCGCTACTATGTTTCTCACATTCACGGGCGGAGCCACCCTTGGGTTGGGGGTGGGCACACGCTCCCCTCAATTTTATTTTTTCTTTTATATTAGGCATGTATTTTTGGAAATTTTTTTTTATACATATTTAATTTTGTTCACAGTATTATTGTATTCTGGTGATATCGATTTGAATAGATTTCTACCTAAATAATTGTTAATTTTTTGAATAATGTTATTGAGATATAATTTAAGGATTTAATGCATTGTGATATTAAACCTAATAGTGAATTTTAATATTTAATAAACTCCACTATCTATTATATGGTCACAAATCATTGGTTATTGTCAACTTGCAGACATGCTTTAAACATGTTTGAATATGTTTTGAACATAGAGGTTAATTTGTAATTTTTTTAAAATTGTAAGGTTATTTATTTCAAATAATAAAAATATACCAATGTCAATTGTAAGTTACAATAATTGGTCTCATTCTTGATAAAAAGTTTTAATTATTTGTTTACCAATCATCTATGTTTACTGAATTTTAATTTTAAGTATTAAATATAATTTCAGTAAATATGAATTTATAAACTTTTACAGTCAATTGAAAAAGAAAATTTAAAACATGATAATGTGCTCACCTAAAACTTTTTCTTGACTCCGCCCTGCTCACATTGCATGTTCAACTATAATTGTTGGTTTTATGCTGCCACCATTGTAGTCATTCATTTGTAATTGTTGGTTTTAACCGATCATTTGGCTTTGTAGTATTTGTGAAATCTATTCAATTGGTTGATAGTTGAAAACGTTAAATGAGAATACAGCGATAATTTAAGGGTGCAAAATAAAATTCACCGAAGATAATGAAATTGTCCTCCCTTGTCAAACATTTTGAATTTTGTTTCTCTAATCATATGACAACAATTTATAATTTTGCAGGTTTTCAGTTGCATGGTGGTCTTATACCTTCCCCATGACTACTGCATCATTGGCAACCATCAAGTATGCAGAGCAGGTTCCTTGTATTATAACCAAGGCTCTTGCACTAACTCTTTCATTCATGTCATCGACAATGGTGTCTGTATTATTCATCTCAACACTTCTTCATGCCTTTGTTTGGCACACATTGCTCCCCAATGATCTTGCTATAGCCATAACCAAGAGAAGACTTTGCAAGGAGAAGAAACACATCAGAAAACCTTACGATATAAGGCGTTGGACAAAGCAATCTCCTCTCTCCTTTGTTTCAATTACGAGAAAGAACAGTCCAGTGAACAAGGATTCCGATGGAGAGAAAGAAATCGGATACTGAACTTATATAAGTAAAGCATTTCTTTTCCTCCAATATAAACCATCTGCAGGAGCCACTGCATAATACTAATAGCATTCGAGATATTAAGATGGTATAAAAAGCTAGAGATCTACTTTTGCTGCCTGTCGTAAAATTTCTCGTTGAATTTTCTTTGTTCATACCTTTTCTCTCTATTCCCCCCCCCCCCCCCCCCCCCATAATATTGCCTATACTTTATCCAAAAATCATTATAAACGAGATTTTTGTTGGGCACTTCCCAGCACTGATCTGATTCTGGAAGATGATGGTGTTATAGCATTAATGGTCAATAAACGAATGAATTAACGTGATGGGAATCCGAGCCACTAGCCAATAATTTTATTGAAAATTTGGCCGGAGTATTACACTGTAGAAACAGATGAGACAGTATAACATTTCTATTGTGAGAAAAGAGCAATTTGCGGATTAGAAAGAATGGTTGTTTCAAACTAAGGTGTGGCTTGACACCATTTTCCATAGATCTAGTGTAATGGCAATCAAAAGCTTGACGTTTTGTAGTAGTTATGTACCTATCCACAGTGAATGATTTGCCAATCTTCATCAAGCTGCAAAAGTTGATGCCTGATGGCCATAGTGAGCACTGTTTTCAAATGTTTACCTCAGTTTATGATCAACGGATGCCCAAACCCCTGTTGGAATTGCAGGGACAGAGTTTATGGATATCATAGGTTCAAAACATTATACTTGAGCATTGATTCGTTAAATACAAATCTGGTACCTGCTCATGCCAAGCGAAGAACCAACAGCAGCAATCCCTCCATCGTTCCCACTTATAATCCGCTTCACCACAAACCTGGGAGCTTTTTCTTTCTCTAAATGTTTCATCTACAAAAGGAATTTGTGACTGGTGAGATTTCACATGATGATATAGGACTAGAGCCGACTTACTACGTCTAAATGCCTACTCAAAACAGCAAGGAAAAAAAAAATCAATACAGACTGCATGCTAGTACTCATGAAAAGTGCCATGCTTACCTCACATTCTTGTTTAAAGGAACCCAATCTGTTCTCTTTTGAGCCCTTAAGGAGAAGTAATATAAGTCAATAAAATTTGCAAAAACATGAGATCCAAGGCCCACCAAAGAAAGGAATAAGCCGAACCTTCACAGTTATACAGGTAGGCCGAGGTAGTTTTAACTCAGATCCAGCATTGGGATGGAGTTCAGACGCCAGAGAGAGCTAGCATTAAACCAAGAGAGAAGACTGAGCCAAGAGTAGCATTTTCTTTTGATAATTATGACAAAATAATAACACTTGTAGCAGTTGCAGTTGTCACCAGAGTAGCACAAAGGAAAACTTGTTACATGGGACCTCTATTATATGTTTCCAAATTTACCTTGTTAAACAGTTCTACCGGTGGATCCTGCTGAACCCTCTTCTCTGTTTGGAGATTAAATTCCTGCAGTAAAGTCAGGCAATGGTATCATAAGATAACATAAACTGAACCATCAATTTTAAAACTATAGCAAGTAGATAACAGATGAGCATCTGTGGCCACTTTTGGTACTGTAGTTTCCCGCTTGACATTTCGAAGAACTCCAATATCTCCTTTACTTGAAAATATCTGCATGTAGACACTACTTAGATTCAATCTTAAGAGTTGTATCCGAATAGGGTCTCGAGTCGGATATGATACCTTTTTGTTAAGAGGGCGAGCTTTAAAGTTTTGATTTTTCTCACATCCATCCAGCTTTGGAGCATCCATGAAATTCGCTCTGGTCATTTAAAGACATGCTCCAATTAAAATGCTATGAACTCTAATACAAAGTCAAAGAGATAATATAAAATTGTTCAACGTTGGAATTCCATGCATTCATCTCCAGTAAATAGCATGACTGAGCTATAATGGAGGAGAATAAGGGTTAAATAGCAATCAAAAATTTGAAATACAAATCGTCATTGACCCTTTATTATTGCTAGTTCCAGTTATCCAGGTGAATAGTTGAATCAATTTATCTAGAACATATATACACTGCATGATGCATCTACTATGAAAAGCAATAAACTGCCACCAAAACAACTAGATGCATTAATTTGTCTGACATTTACATTGAAAGTAGCACAGGAAATAATAAACACTATGAAGAGTGGAAAACTGATAAGATGAACAGAAGGGTCAGATAATTTTTCCATGATTAACTTTGAAATTGAAAGATGGATCCACCAATTATTACCTCCGGAATTCTCCATTTCCACATTCTGCAATTGAATTAGCACTAGGTTTTTGCAGGATCTGCAACACGGATTTCCAGTTTTAGACTAATAACATATGGACTCCCATTAACAGATGTAAATGCAAATAATTATCATCTATTCACTGCCAGACTGCATTTGTATTTCTTATGCTTTCTATTGTTCCACCTTCCTGCCATCCCTCATTTTGGCCCGGACTTCGTCTCCCTTAGGCATAACTCAGTGCGGGAACAAATTACCCAGAATGCGGAAATCCTACATTTGTTGGATTCAAAGAGTAACCTTATCATTAAGATTTTGATTGACAAAGAATGATGAAACTGCGGAAGAATGTTGTGCAGCCCTCTCTGATGTCTTCAGGTGGAATTCCTGCAAAGCAATGTGATAAAGGAAAATCTCAGCCTCAAAAAACATACAAGGAACTTAATTTGCAGCTGCCATTGTTCCCCATGAAGCTTAACCACAAAAATTGTGGAACTTTTATTGGAACAAGAAAGATACAAGAGACTGATCATTTACTTGAAACTCGGGCAATCGTGGGACGGTTCTTTTAGGAAGTAAAAATGAAGGAGCCTCAAGTATCTGCAAGTTACAACAAGATCAAAGTCAAATATATGCAGCCTGGCTGAACTTTTTGTATGAAGTTGCAGCTGTTTATTAACTGTTGATACAAACTTTTCTATTCAATGGCAGAGCTTTGAATTTGCGAATAGTTGATGTCACATGTTCAACTTCTCCACTAGTTTTTGGCCTGAAAAGCAACAGTGAATGGATATGTAGCCTACTTGACTGAACTATGTCTTGTACCGCACAATAATATACGTGTAAAACTGACCTCATCCTCTGTGCCCTATGGGCTGTTTCAAGGTCCGGTTCTCTAGGAATAGTAAGCCTCAACTTAGCATGCACTGAGTTTCCCTCAATGGTTCCATCCTGCATTGCCATAACATTCTCAAAACTCTATCAGAAATCTCCTTATATCATATAATGTGAACAAACTTCCCCTATCCCCTTCCCCTTTGTAAGCCTCTGTCCATATTTACACCCCCAAAAATTCATTATCTCGTGAATTTATCAACCAATCCCATATAAATGAACCTATTACAGAAATTTAACTAATATTACAGAGAGTAATTTAAATTGCACATTTATAAAAGCACAACAACGATTGAGACTAATCAAATTTCATTTAACGGTTCAAAATTTTTTTCCTGCCCAATGACATCATCTTCTTTGCACGCCGACATTGACAACTCAACCCACACCCTTCTCAATGTAAACCCTATTAATCCACACCTACCTCTCTCTTCTTTTACTCTACCTCTTTCTTATTTTCTCTCTAACCACTTTAATTTTAAATTGCATTACTACAGAAAGAACATAGAAAATAAATTGTTATTTAAAGTATAAATGTGACACGATCAATGCTTGATTTTTGATATTTCAGAGTGTCTTCAGGCACGGAGCTATTGCTAGCATATATCAGACAATGTAGATGGTAGGCATACGTATCCAACGAAGGCTAACAAGGTCCATATTGCTACTAACAACAAATATCCTTCCAATTTGTAGAGACAATAAGGTTGGTCAATTCAAATGTCAGTCATCTGGAACCATTCGGCAGGCATGCCTTTGAAAATTTATTAGTGAACATATAAAGAAGACAAGAAGATAAAAAATAGAAGAAGGGGAAACTATGAGGATTACGCTACCCATGGGAGTTAACCTGTCAAACACATGGGTTAAAATGAAATATGAAGCCGAACACAAAGGAGTTTACTTCCTGAAGCACGTAACGTACCCTTTTAGGCACCTTATGAACCAAGTTGGTTTGTTGTTTTGTATCAGCAACCTGTTGCGCAAAACAAATAGCTGGCTTTGAGTAAAATCTTTAACAGGTCAATTGTTAAGTTTTTAATTTTTGTGCAAAAACAGAAATGTTCTCATGTTCTAAATAGATCACAGAACAAATTTAACTGACAAACTTGACCTTACGCAAGTGACCTCCCTCAATCTTCTGTCTCTTAGCAGCTTGACACTCGATCCCACATGGATTATCTGAGCTTTTATTATTGTTCTCATCCAACTTCTGAAGCCTAAAACCGATGGGAAACCAAGGCATTATAAAACAAGGGTAGCACAGTTAGTGTGACTATCGATAAAAGGGACAAACAGGAGGACTCCTTTCAATTAATAAGGAAATTATATAGATGATCTGCATTGCAGAACCTTAATTCTTATGAATGTTGTCTTTTCACTGTGAGAATTCTCGCACATCAAAGTTAGCAGTATTCAAACCTCAACGTTTTGAATAGCTACCAGAAAAATTTTTAAAAAAAACTGAATACAATATAATAACAGCTAACCACTACATCAAGAATACACTATAGTGAAGGATCACAGAACCACAACGAGAGACTGGAATCTTTATTATTTTGAAACCACAAACACCACATCACTAAGTAAGCAATTTTTCCAATGTTCACCTGGAGTCACCTACATGACGAGGTCGATTTTGCTTGGCCAATTGACTAGCTGTAGGCTTCATCAAAGTTGATGTCCTTTGAGAATATGGTTTCACAAATGACTCAATTTTAGCTTTTGTATTATCTTTCACCATGTGTTTATAAAACGTCAATCCTGCAATGAAAGAGGATCACAAACAGGAATATGATAGTGCAGGAAATGGGAAGGAAATCAAAGAAGCTAGATTAAAAAGGCAAAGTAGGATAGGTGAAAAGCATTATTTTTCACCTATTAGTCAGCTATGGAGCACAGAAACACAAGCACGTGATAGAATAAGTTGGGTTAGTAACCGTCACATTGATCAATTGGGGGAGTGCGGGCCTTAATGTTAAAGAGAACAAGACATTTTAAATATAGTAATCACTAAAAAGACTTGAGTGATCCAAGTTTAGAAATAAACCATCAACACCGTCATAAAAGCATACCTCTACATATAAAGCACAATATAAAGGAAGAAAAGCAAAACACCTGTCGGTAGTTGCTGGGGTCGATTCTGAAACTTTTGCAGACTGCCACTTTGTAAGCTGGTGAATATTCCTGCAGTTATTCCTTCACAGTCTGCAAGCCAATATGACAGATACATAGTCAGTCTGTAGTCAATATGTAATGCATTTCAGTGTATCAGTTTTAGGTGTATCTGCCTACAATGGTTGAGAAGGTTGCACAATGTGTCCTATTGCACACAAACTATGCACAAGAAATAATTTTGAAGCTATTTTGCAAATTTTGGATCTTTGTTTGATGTTTAATCCATACATGCTTTGTAGGATCATGTGATTTTGATGTTTTATCACACCTTACAGTTTTGTCAGACGAAAGATATAACACCACTGGCAAAGGGATAGAAATTTGACCCAAGAATGGTCAAAGCCTATCATTCGCCCAACCCAACATGACCTGTGATTTTTAAGGCTCTATAGACTTACGCTTTTAGGATCACCTCAAGCTAAAAACAAAGAAGAATGCTTTAAGGAACAACATTAAAGGTCAAGTCATATTGAACCAATGCCTCATGGGGTAACTCTTTCATCCAACATATGCTTTAAAATAGACATGCAAAATATGTATCATATAAACTACCAAAAAGTATGGCCCATTGGTTGATTATGGAGCATCTGGTTTGAGTTCAATGACTGCTACAAGTGAGGAAGACGTAGTAAATAGAAGTTAATGTCCAGTTAACCAATCCCATAAATGTTGACATATGCTTTGTTTCAATGATCGAAATGAAACCTCAAAAGGGACATAAGTTACTGACGCATACAAATTTTACCTCTGATGTTCACATCCCTAATGGGAACAGCATAGGAGTCCGACTCCAAAGCAGGGTCACTACTAGGCAAAGTCGTATTCTCTACGTCTTTAGTTTTTGGGGAGGTATTGACATTTTCCAGTAAGATATCTTCTCTTGGGACTAAATTTGTTACAAAAGCTGAAATAGCAAAACATAAAGCAGATACATTAAAAGATAATAACATAGCCCTCAAATTTACACATATATAAAGGACTTATAATTTTGAGGCTATAACAACATCAACAACAAGAGGTCCACAAACTTGACAACCCAGTTTAACAGAAATACCGATGCACAAGATGCAAGGTGCAATTGAAATAGGAGACAGAGTTTCCTTCACAAGATCTGCTAATGGTCAAGAGACCTCCATCCTATTGGACCTTCTGTTCTGTCTTGTTCCTCTCTCTATCTCCACATCTCTTTATGTATATCGATGGAGTAATACTATATGAACTTAAAAAGTAGACTTAATAATCACAACCATTGAATAGGTAGTGGGTCCCTGTAAATGTTGAAACACAGTGAAATCAATGGTTATAATTATCAAGTCTACTTTTTAAGTCTATATAGCATTGCTCATATCGATGTCATAAAAAAGAACGAATTCTTGTTCCAAATGCACCGTAAAAGTCTAAACCTCTTTTTTAAAAAGATTTCAGATTCTGCAGAAGTGAATTACTTTCTTAAGGGTGGACTGGTTCAAGACAAATACTCGGAACAAGGCTAAGAAAATTTTGTCATGATCTTTGCAGTGTAAAAATCGCAATGAGAATCTCTCAACACCTGAATTTTTTTTTTCTTGAACTGATTTCTCCTGGAAATTAATATTCAAGCAGAAACAACACAGCCTTATGTTAATTCATTAATTTTGTGGCATAATCCTTGAGTCAAGTTAAAAAGTATTATCCCAACTATTTAGTGTTGGCTACGTCCATACTGCATTGTGCTGGTCCAGATTTTCTGTTAAGTCACAAGCTAACACATCTTAATAATTAGCAGGCAAATCAATACAACAGTGCTGCAAAATACACCAAATAGACCAAAAATCAAGCCTGGCAGATATCAAACAAGAAGCATCATATTAAGCTTCAAAAGTAAGTAGAAGCATCTCAGCATTACTCGAACTAAAAGAAAACGACTAAATTGAGTCCCACACAAAAAAAAAAAAAAATCATAAAAGTACAACTGGATTGCAGGTATATGTGAAAGAATGAAGAATGATAGGGTTTCGTCCCAAAACACTTACGAGAAGGTGGATAGCTTCTGGCGGTTTGGAACCAAAGCTCAGCTTCACGAGCTTCAGCAAGGGACTCTTCACGGCTGAAATCGAAGTACCGAACAGCATCGAACTCGTAATCAAGGTCAATCTCAATTGCTGTGAATGTATACTCAACCATATCATCCATTTCTTCATCCATTTCTCTCTCTCTCCAATGTCCGTCTGTCCACTTAACACTCTCTCACTTGAAAATCACTAGTTTGGCTTCTCAAACTGCAAAAGCTGAGAGCTCAAACACTAACTCTTCGAGTGCGACTGGTGTACGCACATTCAACGGCGCATATTAGCACGGAATACAACCGGAAAACAGAGAGGTATATACACAACTTTGGTATCTATAGCCGAGAGAGACGGACGGAGGGAGGGAGGGATCTAGAGGCGAGGTTAAGAAGGATCCGAAATTTGAAAAGATGGGGGGTCCAAATAAGGGAGATACGTTAATTAATTTTTAGACAAATATGCCCCTGGTTTTTATAAGAATGACGAGTTTGGGAATTCCGAAATTTGAAAGGGTTTGGGTATTGGAGGTGGGATTGTCAATATGTGAAAAGAAGGATGGTTTTTTTTTGTCTCTGTGTAGAGGTGCAATGTTATAGGTGTTTGAGCTCTGTTTCGGGCGGAGAAAACCTGTCGGGGCTCTGAAATTTCGGCGCGGGTTAAGCATTGCCCTGATATGCTCATCGAATTGCGAGATTGCCCCTAACGTTTGCATTCGTTTGTCAGGTCCACGAACTGGGACCCACCACTGTACGAGCAGAGTTTCATTTAACCCCTTGATTTGTATTTATTAATTTTTGCCTCTCAACTTTCTAGGTCATAATCAATATCTAATTTACCCCTTTTTCAACTTTGTTTTCTCTCATCATGATGTTTTACTAATTCTTTTGGTTTACTCATTTATTAATTCTTACAAAAAATTATAACTTTTGGAAAGTTGTACTAATGATTTATCATCCGGGCTTTAAACTGAAAAAAAAAAAAGTGTTTATTGAAATAGAGTATTTAGATTTTAAAGTGCTTTTATTTTTGTTGTCCACCCAAAATGCTATTTTTACAAATTTTCACTAAATTTTTTTTTATTTTTGGTGAACATTAAAGCATTACTTATTCCGCAAAGTGTTTGTCAAACAAATATTTTATAATAAATACTTATTTAAGAAGTATTTTGTAAACTGCATAAATCATTCCAAAATGCGGTATAAACGAGGAATCACATCGTGCCAAAAAAAATAAAATAAAATAAAAAGGCAATAATTTAGTCAAAAAGTCTTCTAAATTGACAGAACCATCTTTCCTTTATTTATTTATTTCGCAGGCCAGTCAGCCAGAGCCAGCCATCAATTTTTAGCATCCTCAATAGATGCCTTGCTGCAGGCCTGCAGAAGCATACAGAAGAGGCCAATGTATGGATTCTGCATCGGATTCCATCTATGTAATTTTGATGTCAGCACATGTTCTAACGTAAGTAGCGAAGGATTATTTTACCAACAAACAACTACCTATTTTATCACATCTTATATAATAAATATATCATTTTATTCTTAACATCATCCATTTCATTTTACCCTTAACTATTTATATAAAGAAAAATTTAAAAATAATTTTTTTAAAAAAATTAACTAAAAAAAAATCGATAACACCGTACGCTTAAATATAATATAAGAAAAAAATTCAAAATAATTTTTAAAAAAAAGTTAAAAAAAAAACCGGTAACAACATAATATAAGGAAACAAATTCAAAATAATTTTTTTTTTTAAAAAAATCGGTGACACCGTACGCTTAAATAAGAAAAAAATTCAAAATAAATATTTTATATGTAAACTCTTAACAAATGAGTAGGGATGTCAGTGGACCGAAGCGGGAGCGGTGTAGTCTTCATCTCCGTACCCGTTTAAAAAAACTTTGTCCATCCCCGGTCCACCTCCGCTAACGGGTATAATTTTCATCTCATCCCCGTACTCGCCTAAGCCCAAGTCCAAGTAGTATAATCAAAAATTCTAAATAAATCTAATATTTTAAATAATCTAACAACATTCTAAATAATCTAACACAACATAATGGAGATTGCAAAATATAAAAGTCAAAATAATATAGCATTCTATTTAAAGTGTCATTGAACCACAAAAAGATAAACAAAACTATTATTGAGAAAAGAATAAAAGGAAAATAAAATTGAATTAAGAAAACAATAGCACTACACTTGAAGTTTCCTAGAATAATTTTTGTTATTACAAGTCATATTACAGCCATAAAGTGCTAAAAGATGAAAAATTAAAATTTTGTTAATTCAATAATTTTATCCACGATGAAATGCAAAACTATTTTACTCTCTCTTATTTGTTTTTAGAGTAATGGTCAATCCAAACTCTTAACAGTTTCAATCAGTGAGCACATAAAAAAAAGAACAATCAGGAAAAAAAGTTGATAAAATTACTACATAGTAATACCATTTGTTAGTTTGACTACTATATTTTTAGATTGATAGTTATAGTAAATATATTTAGTTATGACTTTGGAGTATATATATATAACGGGATAGCAGGGGCGAGGGTAAGGGTAAGTCCATCCCCGCCTTAATCCCCGTTCGAGTTTATACGGATATTCTCGTATACGTCCACCGTTCAATACGTATAGTCCATTCCTGGTACAAACGAGACGGGTTTGGACGAATACCTATTTTTCTCCAGTCCACTGTCATCCCTACAAATGAGGGCATTTGTGTCAATTTGCATATTTCTATCGTTCTTCCATTTAACCCATGAAAATAATATCACCTGGTAAGTGGTATTCATTAATACCATCTACAAGGCATTATGATTACTGTTCATATCGGGTCGATATTGCAATTCAAAAAATAGTATTGTCTATAAAATGCTAAACAAACAAGGTGTAAAGTAAGTTTCACGTACTATTTTCTTAATTTCACCGTCTTATATTACTCTTATCCCAAAACAAACTAGCCCTTATATGTGTAGCAAGCCGGCAAGGTCAAAGGTGAAGTAAAATATATGGATGAAGTCCGGATATCACATCAAAAATTAGTCTTTACATAATTTATCTTTGACTAAATCAATAAAAAAATTATTCAACGTGCACGTAAACGGACTCAGATTTCACCACCCGTCCGGCAGCCGGTACCAGTTGTTCATCACTTCTCCTTTATTGCCTATTTCACTAGCATGACTCTTCTTAGAAGTCTCGTTCAAGTCCTTAAAGATGTTGATGTTCCCCTCTTATTCAGTGATAACAGCTACCTGTACTGTTTAACAGAGATATTCATGAATTCATTGGGCTTTTATTAGACAGCATAGGATTCGTTCCTCTCTTGCTATTAAATCTACTATTGTACCAAAATATTGAAAACTTTACGATTTAACTAAGTCAAAGTTGCAACTTAATGAGGTTCCAAAAGATTAGAATTGATCTAATTTTTTTTAACATTACAGCTAATTTGATCTCACTAAATTATAACTTGACTCATAGTTTCACCACTGTATAACTTGTTTAGTGAATAAAAATTCAAATTTTCTCATTTAGTGTTTAGATTTGAGTTTCCATAACTACGATAACTCGGTGAGATTAAATTTATTATTCAGCGTCTAAAGTACATAAGAAATCTTAACTTCAGCATCGATATAAGGGCGATAAGGTCTCTCACAAGTAGGTATGTGGTGTTTAGGGAAAAAAAACTCCTTGTGAAATATGTGGAGTAATTTTTTTGTATATATTTTTCCAGCACCATAAATAAATAAATAAATAAATAAATAATTTGGGTTTCATTCCTGGCAAACAATAACTATGCTCTGTGCTTTTCATTAAGAAATGACCAAACTGTGAGCACTCCACTGCGAGTCTGTTGTATGTACCATACTGGCCAAACCAATTTAATGCATTTGTCAAAGACAAGCTCTGCACAACAAAACCGACACTACTATAATGTTGATTTCAATATGCCGAGTATTTATTGCTATTATCAAACATAATGTTTTATTTTATGATAATACTTGGAAAATGGTACCATTAAACAAGAACAATTAGGTTAAAGAGATTGGACTTATATTGAAGTTATATGACGAAGATTACCCAAGGAAGAAAACCCAAGTTGCTCCAAGATAAACTCAAGAAAAACTGTTCAAGTCTATCCATTGAAATCTCGAAGAGAGCAAATGTTACAAGGTCAGGATTACTGACTGAACTAATCTCTTTATGTACGAGCTTGCCTCACTAAGGGAAACTCATCCAATAGCGTATTCGACAAATAACAAATTGTGTTAGAGGCATACAAGGTCATCACATGTCTAGATTGGAAGATAAGTCAGCATGTCATCTCAGCACATTCTAGAAAGTTCCGTCACACTTAAAAAAATTAGTTTCTAACGGCCGAAGGAAAAGTAAACTCAAGTGACCCAAACATTTCCTTAACAAACCAGGAGACCACTTAACGATGATAGGACCATTGCTTATATATACCAAAACCTTTTTTCAAGTAAGATAAGATAGATATAATTTTATAATTGATCATTCTTCTTCAAGAAATATAAAAGACCTCTATAAGTAAAAAACTCCATTAAAGTGAATTAGTCATGTTCTAAAGCTAATGAATCACTATCCTTTCTGTGTGATTCCATAACCCCAGTTCAACCCCTCTTCGCATCTCATTAGCAACTCGGTCAAGAGCCTCTAGGCTCCATTATGATTAATCAATCACACACCCTCTCATACATTCACTAATACAAACTACTACTAAGCCTTGAGCTCCTCAATTTAAACACCCGACTCGTATCCCAAACCTAGACATCATCAATTTATTATTCTAACTTTTCATTAAATATTTCATTTGGATGGAGTTATGGTTGGGGGAGGTGGGTTGTTATTATGAATGCTAGTGTACTTGTGGTTTGGATATAGATGTTGGGAAGGAAGAAGGGAAATGAAAAACAAATGTTTTGGATGCATAAATAATTTCTTTCAATAATCGATAATTTTACATGCAACACTGACCAGGAATAAGTGACAGTTTTAGAATTTGAAGCATTGTTTTGTTGATTTTCTTATGACAAAAAGGGTTTGTAATCATTGACTGAATTGTAGAGAAGATTAGTCGAAATGTGCATAAGATGATTTAATCATTCCCAATCGTTGAAACAAAAAAGAAAAAGAATGAAAGAAGGGTTTGTACTTCTACAACTTTTTACAAGTACCAAATTTCTTTATATTCTATAAATGTTAATGATTTGTCTTGTTTTTTTAAGTGAAACACATTTTTGAAACCCCAAAAAACAAAAGAAAAATACTATCCAGATATAATTTGGGGCTTAACGTGTTATAACTTTTGAATTATCAATCAACTTCGATTCACTACCAAATCTCATATTAAGATCCATTATTAATTTAAAAATAATAATGTATTAAAATTTTAAATTAAATGTCCAACTAAATATAAATAACACTATTAAAAAAAGAAAAAGAAATATAGAGTTTAGACTCTAGGCTACGATGGTTAAAAGGATGACGAAGCTTCTCCAATTTTCCATGGTTCTGCTTCCACTATCAAAACCAAAGAAATTTGCATTTTCTTTTTCTTCCGCATTCTAGAAAGTCTTGTCACATCTAACGGCCGAAGGAAAAATAGACTTACATGACCCAAATATTTCCTTAACAAAGCAGGAGACCACTTAACGAAGATAGGACCATTGCATATATATACCAAAACCCTTATTCGAGTAAAGTAAGATAGAGATAGTTCTATAATTAATCATTCTTTTTCAAGAAATATAAAAGACCTTTGTAAGTAAAAAATTCTATTAAAGTGAATTAGGCATGTTCTAGAGCTAATGACTTCTGTGTGATTCCATACCCCCAATTCAACCCCCTCTCCGCATCTCATTAGCAACTCATTCAAGAGCCTCTAGGCTCCATTGTTATTAATCAATCAAATACTTTCTCATACATTCACTGGTACAACCTACTATTAAGTCTTGAGCTCCTCAATTTAAACACTCTATTCGTATCCCAAACCCGGGCATCATCAATTTATTATGCTAACTTTTAATTAAATATTTCATTTGGATGGAGTTATGGTTGTGGGAGGTGGGGTTGTTATGATGAATGCTAGTGTACTTGTGGTTTGGATATAGATGTTGGGGAAGGAAGAAGAGAAATGAAAAACAAATGTTTTGGATGCATAAATAATTTCTTTCAAGAATGGATAATTTTTCATTCAACACTAATCGGGAATAAGTGACAGTTTTAGAATTTGAAGCATTGTTTTGATGATTTTCTTATGACAAAGGGTTTGTATTCTTTGATTAGATTGGTGAGAGAATTAGTCAAAATGTGCATAAAATGATTCAATCATTCTTAACCATTGAAAAAAAAGAAAAGGATTTGTACTTCTACAACTTTTTACAAGGACTGAATTCTTTGTATTTATATTCTATAAATGTTAATGATTTGTCTTATTTTTGTTAAGCAAAACACATTTTTGAAACACCAAAAAAACAAAAACAATACAATCGAGATATAATTTAGAGCTTAATGTGTTATAATTTTTGAATTATCAATCAACTTCATTTAATATTGATTCACTAGGAAATCTCATATTAAGATCCGTTATTAATTTAAAAATAATAATGTATTAAATTTCTAATTTAAATGTCCAACTAAATATAAATAACATTATTCACAAAAAAAAGAAAAGAATGAGTAATACTATTAAGATCTAATTTATTGATTTAATTTGTTGACGTAATTAACTATAATCTTTAAATTGACTGTAAACTCCATTAAATATTAAAATTTAGTGTTAATTCAATAATTTTAAAGAAGTTACGTTATTAAATTAACAAATTATATAAAGTTGAATTTTTCAAAAAAGAATATAGAGTTTAGACTCATGACTACGAATACAACTCCACCCAAATCAATGATGCACAGTGACTGTTAAAAGGATGACGAAGCTTCTCCAATCTTCCATGTTTCTGCTTCCACTCTCAATAACGAAGAAATTCGCATTTTCTTCTTCTCCAGTTTTGCTGCAAGCTCCCAAAAGAACTCGGACAATCTCTACCAAAATGTCCATCGCGTCACCGTCGCAATTGACTCACACTATCAACTTGACGAGTCAACCCGCTGAACCTGTCCGAGTAGTCGCTGCTCCTGGTATCTCTGATTCCGATTTCAGGCAAATCAACTTAACTCTCTCTCTCTCTGTATTTACACATACACACAACCCCAATTCTTCAATGTAATTTGTGCTTAGGAATGCTATTGAATCCTCTTTGTTCAAGCGGTGGTTGAAGAACATACAAAGTGCGACAGGGCTTTTGGCTGACGGAGCTATGACTTTGGAGCAAGTACTTATTCAGGTACATTTGAATGTCTTAAGGAATGACACAATTCATTTAGTTTTTAAACTAATATTGCGATTAAGCTCTGATTAGGTATCAAACAGGTTTTTTTTTTTTTTGACTTATTATGGATGCTTATTGAGATTCTATGTAATTGTGGTGCTTTCCAATATTTATGACAACTCAACGACATTGTCCCATTTGTGAGTCGAGCTCAATTTTGCAAATAAGGAAATTGATTGATTCATTTTAATGGATATCACTATGCTCATTTTTGAGTAATGTTATTTAGACCTAAAAATTCGTAATGATGACGTTTTATTGGAACCAAGATCAACACCAAGTTCTAATATTTGATGGGTCCGCACTCGGGCAGGACCCACCCCACAAGAGTCATTCACCAGGGAACCCTGGGTACACCATATGCAGGGGCAAAAGACTTATAACATTGAATTATGTAATGAATAAGGGTCAGTCAACCTGTTGCTGGATATACATATGATTTTCTGAGTCCACCTTGAACTTTGAAGTGATCTGGTTTGTAAGAGATTGATACTAAATACTTCAACCAGTCTAAGTGGTTGTCTTAGATATTCCAATTGTATTGTTTTACAGCAAGATCATAGGTGAAGCTGGCCATACTTTGAAGAACTACTTAAGTAAATGCCATGATTAAAAAGCCTTGTAAGAGTAGTCAAAAGCCATCTTAGGAGCACTGACGAGTTTTAGATGGGAAGTGTTGCTATTTCTTTTTAAGCCATGAAGAATTGCTAAAGTATCCCATCTTTGTACGGTTGGCTTTTACTGCTTCTGGAGACAGAGAAAGAAGTGTTTTTGTGATTGCTACAAGGATTTACTTTGTTCTGCTTAATCTTAGGATTAGGCAACATATAGCTCTTCATGAACAGAAATTCTAACAAAATCAAGGAAGGTGGTGCTTTACTTGGTCTAGTCTATGGAATACCACTTTCGTGTTGAAGATGTTGACCAGATGGATAATGAATTTATGTGATTTCTCTAGTAATCCTATTCTACAAGATATCTTAGATATGACTGCAACATGATCAAACTATTATGATCAAAATCTTCTGCTTTAGATCCATTCCATCTTATTTCTTCAACAGGAGAAGCAAAAAATAGGATGGTTCAGGCTCAGTTATAAACTATCTCTTTAACAGTGATATTTTTGTTCCACGTGTCATTATCTGTCAAAGGCAGATCAGATACCCTCCTCCATGACATGAACTCATTTTCACATGAAGAATTGTTAAGGTGTCAAAACCTTCATGGTGCAAACCCTAGGATCAAAAGATGCCTCTGTGTAGAATGGAGTGCTCAACCATGGTTTAAAATATCAGCCTATATTCATACCACTCGGCCAAGTTGGATTGATGCCCTTCTGTTCCAATACCATTACACGTTCCATGTAAACCACAATTTTTGCACTCACTCGGCCGAGTCGTTCAAGAGGTTTCTAACTGAATCTCAAGTCATTTGAGTTATTGTAATAGAACGGCTGATACGTTCCGTGATACCATAATATGGCCCAAATCTCTTGTCAACTTCAATTATTTCCTCGATATAGCATTTGATTTTTTGTATTGGCCCGCAACAAGATGAATTGTCTCAATGCCTTCCAAGTCAATTGCTGATACTACGATCTTGAATCATGCACTCAACATCCAAACTTCAGTTTAATTCAAAAAAATCAATTGACAAAGGAACAACACGATTTGGATGTATCCACACATGGTTGAGAAATATGCATCCAGTATGAAGCATGACAGAGTAAGGACACAAAAATGACAAGTTGGATTGAGCATAAATACTTAACATAGTGGGAAACCCAATGTAACATAGATCTAGGTTAGCAAGCCTCTGTTAGCTACCAGTTAATGCAACGGAGAGCCATATCCTTTTTTATTCTGTATTTGTACGCTTGGTGGTATAACGGTTATTATGCAAGTTGATACACACTTGATTAAGGCATGCTGGAAATTAAGGCAAGGGATTTGAGGTGTCGCTGCTACTTCTGCTCTCATGCCCCTAGGTTGGAAGCCCGTCTTTCATTCTAGATACAACACTGGCAAAATATCTAATTATGATTGATCAATTGATGGCATTTATATTGGAATAGGAGTAGTGAGCCTACAAGTAAGGTGATGGCTAGAAAGAAAAGCTTATTTCAATACATTTCCTTTATTCTCTTCATTTGACCATGCACCTTTAATTCTGATAGGTCCTATTTCATTTTGATATCTTCTATTTCATTTTGATATCTTCCTTGGAAATAGGGTGTGGATATGTTTGGGAAACGTGTTGGCTTTGTCAAGTTCAAAGCAGATGTTCTTGACAAGAAAACGGGCAAAAAGGTACCTAATTAGCATCTCAAATTCTCAATATGTCACTCTGCATTGAGATACATATCAATACTTTCAATGGGGTAAACTGAGGTCCTTGACTATAAACAATTCATACTTTTCATGTTGGCCTGGTCCTGGGGATTCAATCTCAGTTTGAGAGCCACATGAATGTTCCTTCCCTTTCCTGCCTTAGATAGTCATAAACCATTTGGTTACCTTCTTTACATGTGCTTTTGTTCATTTTCGTTCATATGTACTTTTAGGTTCCAGGTATTGTGTTTGCACGAGGACCTGCTGTAGCCGTGCTAATCCTTTTGGACTCCAAGGGCAAGACTTATGCTGTGCTTACTGAGCAGGTAGCTTTTCCTGTGGACTATTGCTCATTACAACTTTATGGAGACTCTAGAATGAACGAAAATTTTGACTTGATTATTCAATGATATACTCTAGAAGATGATTGCTGTATCACTATTTCATGGAAACTCTCATGGAGACTCGTATGTGTGAAAGGTTAGGGTTCCAGTTGGGAGGCTTCTTTTGGAATTGCCGGCTGGAATGCTGGATGATGACACGGGTGATTTTGTTGGAACAGCAGTGCGCGAGGTCTCTCTTTCTCTCTCTCTCTTAAGACGAACAATCTTTTCAAGATGCGTTAATTACTACTTGCTTTCCATTCCACTCCATTTTCTCCATCTGTATTGCCATTTGCTGCTGTTAATTTCAAGCTGGAACGTGGTCAGCAGGAATCGTTATTCAAGATGTACTTGTTATTCCTATATCTTCTGTTGCTTTTACTATCATCTAAAGATAAATTTGATAATGTAAGCTGTTACTTCTGTTGAACATATAGAAATTGTATTCTAGGTGCATTCTGGAAAAGTTGGTTGGGACAATTTTCATTTCGAAAGATGCTGAGAGAATTTCAAACATGCTGTCCCCTAACCCTATCACTGGAGTTGCAAAATATCCCAAAAACTTTGACAGTGCTTGGATGTAATCTTGCATGTGGCTAGTGTTTGTCCTTTAAATTGCTACCTGCTAAGCAGTTGACAGATTGCAAGAAATTTGAAATGAATGTCAAAAGTGGATTGTTCCTCATTCATGCTGAACTGTAGAAGTAATTCCTTGATGGATAAGGAATAGAAAAAAATTATTTCTCAGCACAATTCCATGAAATGGAGCCCAATAAATTAGGATTGTGAGACAAATCCCAACTGGGATATTTCTGCAAAATATGAGTTTTGGATGACCATACAAAGGCAGTCATAAGTGAAATAGTCATCCCAATCCCTACCATATGCCAACACTATTAATCAAGGTACAGTAATAGTGTATTTTCATTGTTGACTATTAAATGTGAATGAGAAACTTCAAATAACATGTTAAAAGTTTCCTTATCTCTACTGGCCGCCTCTCCAGTCTTTCCCAATACTTACTGATACCATCTGGTGCTGGAGGCCATTGCCAAGTATAGCTACTTAGATTCAATTAGAAGGTAGATTAAAATATGTTAATTTAGTTTAGAGGTAAATATCATAATTATGTGTAACATTTTTTGACATGCAAGTTTCTTATACTGTGTTTTTAGTGATTGTACTCACCACTTCGGTTAATTGGAATATGTCAACTTGTTAACTAGGGCAACAAATTTTTTTTCCCTATAGTCTTCGAGCTTGATAGAGCAATGAACTTGCATGTTTTCGATTTTATGTTCTTTATAAACGAACATGACAGGTTGAAGAGGAGACTGGCATACACTTGAAGATAGATGATATGATTGACCTCACAGCCTTTCTAGACCCAGCGACTGGATGTAGAGTTTTTCCTTCTCCAGTATGTATCCATTTATCCCTTATTTTTATGAAACCTTAAAATTGTTGGATTTTTCAGAATAAAAAAAACTATGGATGCACTTAACCCCTGTTCCTGTCTGAGTGTGGCATAGAATTCTTACCAACGAGTCTGTTAAACAATTTTTGTTGTATTTTGTCAGAAAAATGATTTCTTGTGTTTCCAACGCTAGGGCGGGTGCGACGAAGACATTAGTTTGTTTCTATACAGAGGACATGCTAGTAAAGAAGTTATAACACAGCTTCAAGGGAAAGAGACGGGTCTTCGGGATCATGGTGAACTTATTAAAGTGCATGTAGTTCTCTATGAGAGACTCTGGCGCATGACTTCTGATGCAAAAGTTTTGATGGCCATTGCCTTATATGAAATGGCTAATAGACAAGAGCTGCTGCCTACTCAGAGAAGGTGACCTGCTGATTCACTCTCTACTTAGTTTCATGAATTTGACTCGTAGATTGTAAGTAATGGTTCTTTGCTGTATCAAGATGCCTTTCATGACAGATTCATAATATCGTTTTTATGTTAAATAGAGAGCATTTGCTCTCAGCTTCCTGAAATTGCTATTATATATACAAAGTGCAAATGATAATTGGTTGTACCACCCTCATATGCCACTGAGATTCGGTCTTAGGTACTAGGTGACATTGGCTGATACATGCTTCACATTCGTCTCAACCTTTCAGCCATTTGTTTGGTAAAAATTACATCGAAAATCAACTGGAATTTTGAGAATGAAAAACAAACTGTGGATGATGCTCAAACAAAGCTGATTGACATGCTGTTTAGCTCAAACACTTTTTATCTTGGTTGTTGATACCAAAAATGTATCCTTGCTATGAGATTGTAGGATTGACTGAACAACATGCAGGACTTAATGTTGTGATCTAAAGAATGATTTAGTTATCTATTCCCTCGGTTTTTCTCAATTTTATCCTTGAACTCCTAAAATTGTGGAGGGCAGCCTCTCTCCTTAAGACAAACAGAAGGGTTCTCACCAATAGTTCCCTGCAATTTGCACGTGATTTACATGTGCAATGCCTTGACCCTCCCACTGCTCTCTTCTGCTGTGTGTAGAGAGGAGCTTCCTGGAAACCAAACTCCCCATTGAACTTGGGGTTTGCAGAATTGAAACTAGTGTCAAAGTTTAAGGAGTATTTCTGATACTTGCGATAAAATCAATTTAGATACACAACATAACTATTGAAACACCTCTCTTATTGCACTTCCAATCACAATACCATCAAACCCAATCATAGAACAACTCCTTGATGAGCTATTGCTAAAATGTTACACTTATTGCATTACAAATAATATTACCAGAGGGCGAATATGACAAAAAAATGTGTGCATGCACACAAGCATCACAGGTACAAGAATTTATTTAGTGTACTTATGGGTAGTTCAGTTGTGTTGGGACTGCAAGAAGTGGCGTTGCCCTATGTAGTGTAAGGCCAAAATTTTCATTCATGTCCAATTTTTCTGATGTCATGCCGCAGGGAAGCTTCCAGTCAAAGTGATACACAAGCGAAGCTGTCATCAAGCTCACCACCTTTGAGCAAGGAGAATGCCTGGGCACATTCGGCGACCTGAACCAAACGGAAGAAACGTGAAATTTTGTCCTTTAAAGTCTACTGCGATCCCAAGAATCTTTCCGGCATGAAACACGTAGGGTTATCCCAGTAATCCGCGTCCCGAGCAATTGCCCATGCGTTTACCAGTATTTGTGTCCCCTTAGGAATCATATGGCCATTTAGTTTTACATCTGTTTCTGTTTCTGTTTTGTGGGGCACAAGAAGAGGCACAGATAGGTGCAGCCTCAATGTTTCTTTCACAACTGCCTGTAAGTAGGGTAGTCCAAGGATATCAGATTCTTCTATTTTCCCTTTGGCTTCCACCTTTTCGATAAGTTCTTGACGTAGCTTTGCCAGTACATTCGGATTAAGTAGCAGCTCAGTCATTGCCCACTCAGTAGTAATTGAACTAGTCTCGGTTCCCCCAAGAAACAAATCCTGAGCAAATACAACATTTACAAACATTTTCTTTAAGTGGAATGATTTAAGTTTCTCAAAGATAGTGTGTACATTGTATCTTGATGTATGCTTGTGTGTGTGCAAGAGTGCCTGCACGTGTGTGTGTGTGAGAGAGAGAGAGAGAGAGAGAGCATACCACTAGTAGGATTTTGATATGTGAGCAGTTGAACTCAGATTCATTTGCTTGACTGAAGTCAAGGATTGAATCTAGGAGATCACCATGTCGTGGCAGGTAAGACTTCCTGTGTTGTAGACGCTGATCTATGAAATTTTGTGAAACTGTATCGAGCCAACCATAAGCAGCCTTGGATTTGCTCCTTATGCCTTGAAGGTCAAAAGGTTTAAGCCATGGGAAAATGTCGGCGATGTTGAACTTGCCAGCAACATCCATGACAGTCTTCACTGCATTTTGAAACCCTAGTACATCTAGGGACCCAAACTCGGCTACGTTCTCCGATATGCATGTGTTAGACATTTGATTTTTAGCTGTAGTGAAGGCTAACTTGCGGATTTCCACAGCTTCTCCTTTTTGGCTAGCCTGATTAACATATTGAAGCATCTCTTTTACAACTATGTGTCGAAGGCCTTGCAGTGACTCTAGCTTTTGAGGGTGGGTCAAGTATATGTTCAATGCTTTACGGATGAGTCGCCATTCTTCTCCTGCAGACATCCACAATACTGCAAGATCGTAATGTTCAAGTACTGTGACAGCGTCGGGGATGGTCCGACCAGAGCAGGCCTCATCGTTCTTCTGCAGGATCTCTCTAGCCATCTCCGGTGAAGAAGCCACGACGCTAGTTACGCAGCCTAACCGGATAGTCATGAGAGGGCCATGCTTCTTGGCCAGCTTTGCTAAAGACTCGTAGGGTTTGGGACCAACATCGAAAAGGTTACCAATGAGAGGGAAGCCAATGGGGCCTGGTGGGAGTTTTCTTCTCCGAAATACCCCAAGGCCATGGATGATTATGAAGAAAAAGAGGGAGGATAAAAGAAAGCTTAGGAACTCCATGTAAGCTGTGTGTGTGTATCAGTATAGGTGATTCAGATACTTAACGACCTCTCACACATGCATGCATGCATGCATGTGCATATATATATAAGGGAGGGTTATAAGTGATAGGTGTTTTTATTTGTTGAGTACTGTTGCTGAAGGAATTGTTGTCAAAGACTCACATTTGTTGACTCTCTTTTCCAGATTTTATATATTTGACGTTATTTTCAAAGAAATCCAACTGGCGCGGATTTAGATCCCCCTCTATTTTTCATTTTCTTCAATTTTTCTCAATGCTAGATGAGTAACACGTGTAAAATTTTGAATTTCAATGAATAAGATATTTCCTCATTCATTTTTGTTATTGATGGAGTGTTAACTATTATTAAAGAATTTTATCATAAGAAAAAAATCTTATCTATTGAAATTCAAAATTTTACACGTGTCATTCATCTAGCACTGCATTAAGGAGAATTAAAGAGAAGGAGTAATGGAGGGGATCTGAATCCAACTGCCGCGTCGGAGAACCTGTGTTTTTGTTTGTTGGGTTTGGGTGGTGGTGGTGGTGCGGTAAAAGAGAACAATGTTACTAATCACTCTTAAAGTAATTATCATCTACAATCTTTTTAGATAAACATACTATTCAAAATATTATTGACATTTTTTTAGTTTATATTTAAACATTATTGACAACTTTCGTCGCTAAACCATTGTTTTTAATAAAAAAAAAATTCATCTAAAATATCAAAATTGTCTCTTACATAAATTCGAGCTGATTAAAATTAATTTTTGTTGCATATTAAAATTCAATCTTATTAATTTTTTTACGTATTAAAATTCAAGTCGATTTGAGCTCAACTTGAGCTATTAGCGCGGATTAAAATTTAATTCGAGTCGATCAAAATATATATTTTTTTATGTATCAAAATTCATACAAGCTAAAATTCAATTCGAATTGATTAAATTTGATTTAAGTTGATTAAAATATATATTTGTTTTTAATTGGTTCATATAGAATTTTGTTTTGGTAGTTCAATGGTCAGGAGTGTTTGACCTAATTTACGCTAACCTCAATTAATCTCCACTTCGGTCCGGTTAAAGACAAATTATCGAAAATATTTACGCAATGGTCAAAAAAGGAGTTGTCGATGATGGATGGGGTAAATATATGCAAATTTATTTTATAGCCTCTTTCACACCATTCAATTGACTGAAAATATTTTTATAATCAAAACATGTTGATTTAAGTTGTAAAAGCAATTGTTCAAAAAAAAAAAAAGTTGTAAAAGCAATTAAATTGTCTCGTTCATTTACTTTTATTACTTTTGTATTATTTATTTTTATTAAAGAAAGACCAGCATAGCACAATTAAAATGACCTAATTTTTTAATTATTTTATCCATAAATCATCACGTTGCTGTTGTGTGTTGGGTGGGTGGGGTGGACAGTGGACCAGACTATTGCCAATTAATTGATGTAAAAAAATAATAGTGCAAAATGACGAAGGGCTCCATACCTCACATCCGATTTTATGAAATTTTAAATAAGAGTCATTGTAAAAGTCCGTTGTAACACAGTGTGGAAACAATATTCAAAATTATTCTCTAGTAAGAAAGAAACCGTCAGTAATAATGAACCGTGCAAATGAGCGTAAAACAACAATTATTGATGGTGCTCGAAATTGTTGTACTCATATTGTACCCGGTTGTAAAATAATTGTTGTGTGAGGCCCAATAGGAACTTTTATGAACGCTTAGGTTAGTGGGAAAGCAAGTGTTGATGTTGGATCAGAGAATAAGATATAAGTGATTTATCTTAGTCGAAAGAGTAATGTAATGTCCACTGTAATGGAGACTCTTGCTTCTTGGGAGGAAAAAGGAGATTGTATTATTTGAAGAAGAAGGAAGTGATTATAGTGAGTTTTTTGGCTGAGAGCCTTTTTTACACAATATTTCTTAAGATAAAACTCTAGCAATTTTTTTTTTTTTTACAGTGGTTTCGTCTTCTATTTATATATTTGGTCATCTAGGGTTTCTATAGTTTTTTATTTTCTTGGCTGATTATGTGGTTCCCTCTTCATTTGTCCGATAGCGGGATTTGCCACCCTGACATATTTTGTGTCTACGATCCTTAAAACAGAATGTATCAAAATATTTTATTTGTCAAAAAATATTTGTTCGTTAGAGTCATTAAAAGTTGTCTCCTTGTCACCAGGACAAGTGGCGTGATCAAAGCGGCTTAGGCCCATCCTGTAATGAGTTCTTTATTCTCGAGCAAGCATTTATCACAGTGCGGATAAGTGGCGTGATCAAAGCGGCTTAGGGCCCATCCTGTAATGAGTTCTTTATTCTCGAGCAAGCACTTATCAGAGTGCTCGACACTGCAGGGCTAGCTCCTCCGAGTTGATGGTCCTAGGCTTTCATGTGCCTGGGTTGTGGCCCATCCCATGATTATTTGAGCGCTTTATAGATGGGCCATTAAAGTTGTCTTTTAAAGGGGTTCATCGGATGCTTTGGACTTTAAATGGGCGGTCTAAACTTAAATCTATTATTATCAGTTATATTTATTTACCGTATTGAAAATTATTACAAAATAAAAGTGAATTTATAACTCAATTTGATGAGATTGCGACAAAATCTGGTTGTAACATTTTAGCATCCATCCCATTTTTTTTTTTGGAGTAGTAAATTAGTTTCATTGAATTATAACTTATCTTATTAAAACGTTACTTAAACTCAAATGAAATTTTTAGTTAATTATAAATTGAAAAGTGTTATTTAGACCATTTTTGCTCGCCTTATTTGTTGATCTGATGTATCATAACCATTGAATTGACATAGTTATTTATTATACTATGAATTTCATGATAGAGAATGATTAGATTAGCAAATAAACTTTCAGTAATATCGCTCTTTTAAATTTATGTATAGTACGGCCAGAGTGGTTCTCAACAAATTATATTGCATATATAGTTTTTTTTTTTTTCGACATGTACAAATTATAACACAATTTCTTGCCTTATAGTAATTTATTAGACAATAAACTTTGTCGAACACATGATCTCCTATACCATTACTCCCAACAATCACAAGATAGGCCCTTGGTGAGCTATTTCCAACACATTAAACAAACACATGCATGCACATTTACAAACACCACAATTATTACTAGAGATTCATTCAATCTACTTATTTGTAGTTCCATCTCTCAGCTCAGCTTCTTTGGGACAGCAAGAAGTGGTGTTTCTCTCAGCAGTGCGAGGCCAAAAACATCATTCATATCCAAATTTTCCACTGTCGCACCACAGGGAAGACTCCAGTCAAAGTGATAAACAAGAGAAGCTATCATCAAGCTCACCACCCTCTGAGCAAGGGGAACCAAACAGAAGAAGCCAGAAATGTTGGCCTCTATAGTCTACTTCAGATCCCATGAACCTTTCCGGCATGAAACGAGTAGGCTTATCCCAGTAAGGGCGTCCCGAGCAATTGCCCATGCGTTCACTAGTATTTGTGTACCCTTATGTATTATATAAGTATAACCACTTAGTTTTACTTTTATTTCAGTTTTGCGTGGCACAAGAAGGGGCACCGATGGGTGCAGCCTCAATGTTTCTTTCACAACTGCTTGTAGGTAGGTAGATTCTTCTATGGCTCTCACATTTTCGGTGATTTTTTGACGTACTTTTTTTAGTAGAGCAATGTTATTGGGACCTAAAAATTTGACCTAATTCACTGTGATCTTTAGATTGGCTGTAAGGCCCTATCAAACATTGAAACTTGGTGTTAATCCAATGATTCTTATTAAACCACATCATTATGTCAACAAATTAGGTCAAATTTTTAAGTCTAAATATCATTACTATACTCGGATTAAATAGCAACTCATTCATTGCCCACTCAGTGGTATTTGAACTAGTCTCAGTTCCCGCAAGAAACAAATCCGGAGCCAAAAAAGGGTAGTTCAGTGGTTTTGGGGGGAGTATATGTGTGTGTGCGCACAGGTTGCAGTTTATTTGTTGATCAGCAGTGTTTTAGAATCTAGGGTAAATTACACTCACACCCGCTGACATTTGATTTTATTATACGAACACCTCTCACGTTTCAAAAATTACACTAAGTGAAAAGGAATTTACCCCCTCTCCCCCCCCCCCTCTCTCTCTCTCTCTCACACACACACACACAAAAAAAATTACAGTGCAGTATGCATATTTATGGAGATATATAGAAATGAAACAATATAAGTCAACTCTTGTTATACATGTACAAATAATATATTATATCATATTATATTCTTTTTTTGTCAATATATTATCTCATTCATGGGGTTTTGACAAATTAATTGATGTAAAACATGATAATGCACCATCAAGAAGGGCCATACCATAGGCATTACACTCAAATTTTAGCTAGTTTAATAGAATTAGGAAATAATAGGCATTGTTTAAGTCAGGGGCGAAGCCAGAATTTATGTGCAGTGGGGGCAATCTATGACTAATTGTTATATTAAATTATAATGTTAAAACTATTGAATTTAGCACTCATATATTGATTTGTTAATATTAAAAAACCAATCAATCGAAATATGTTATTTCAAATATAATTTATGGCATAAACTAAATTTTAAATATACTCAAAGAATTACAAAGGAAATATTTAGTTAGGATAATGTGAGAAAAATTTGATCCATCATAAAACATGTAAACTTGAATTTCAAGAAGTTAATCAAAAATAATTTAGTTCATTGCTATCGATTTTAGAATTTAAATATAAAAATGCAATTTCATATGAAATTCATGACAAACATAGTAAATTGAGAAATTTTGTTCTTTCGTACAGTATGTTAATATATTCTCTACTCCCCTGAAATTTTCATTTGTTGATCAAATTCTAATTGATGATGTTTGCTTGACATTCAAACATATGAAAGAAATTAATGAAGAGAATTCTATTTGGTGCAACAATACATGTTCAAGTTATAACTTTTCAGGATCAAATTGTAACTCAAATTTTATAGTCGATCAAAATGTAACTTGACCTTAAAAATTTTTAATTTTCAAAAAGGTAACAAAAAAATTTAAATTCTTGAAACTTTAGACTTATCGTTATTCCAATTATATATATATGTATAACAGACTTATCACTATTCTAATTGCAACTCTTGAATTTCTTCTTGAGAATTACATCGTTTAATACATTTTTAAATCTCAAAAGTATTATTCAAATATAGAAGCACTCATAAATTTTTACAACATTTTAGTGGGGCGAATTTTAAAAAATCTTAAATTTTCAAAATATTATATATACCCAAAAACAATTTCAAGGGGAATTGCCCCCGCTGCCGCCTCCAGTTTAAATCCGCCACTGATTAAAGTTTATTATTAATGCCGTCGTAGAATCTGACACTTCAGTTGCCTTTCTTAGGAAAGATGTAAAAATCACTGCACTTGGAATAAAACTGAGAAGAGTGACACTAAACATCAATTAGGGAGTGAATTATATTGATCGCGTGTAAATATTTAATATAATAGTGATATCACGTTATTACTAAAATACAAAATCACCCATCAATTATAACAACATCACAAATGCACTGCACATCAAAATTAATCATTTTTATTTATTTTGTTTGAAAAACGAAATCACCTATCAATTTTAAAAACATCACCATTAATCATGTTTATATTGGAGGCAGCATTCTTATTTAAATGAACAGCTTTCACAAACAAAAGATGCCTGTAGCAAAACGTGTTATTGGACAAAACTCCTCTCTTCAGTTTTTTCGCACCGGGGCTTGAATCCCACCTACACTACACTACAGCTACGAGCTTGAATCCCACCTACACTACACTACAGCTACGAATGTGGAAATGGCGTAGTGCAGCCAACAAGCTGCATACCGGTCACGAGGAGTGGCTACACATTTCATTTCTAAGGTATACAAAGTGTATACAGATTATACAAATTGATTGGTTCTGAGGAGAGTATAGCCGTCAAACCTTGCTGGTGACAAAATCAGTGTTAGTTGCTTCCCAAATGGTGGTGCCATCACAGGTGCAAAGCTTTTTATAATTCTCACCAACCCCTGCACTTCTAGCTATTACAGCAGCGGTCAGCCCCGGATCCGACTTATCTCCAGTTCCATACACCACAAGAGATCGGCCAATGAGATCAGAAACTCTCAGCTTCTCTTTAACCCCTGAGAAGAACGCCTCCCCCTTTTCATCAACATCTAATGTTCCCAGGTCGCCAATAGGCTGAAAAGTTAATTGAGCCACTCAGAAAATGTACTTATCATAGTGACCCCATTGCAACAGAGGACAGGAAAAACAGGCAAGTTTCACAACAAATTGAACAACCAATCATTATCTTAACCAACCCCACATGCACATGATATCACCGACATTATCTATTGATTTATATTTATCCTGGTGTTATTTTTGCAGAACAAAAAACAATAAACAGACCGAGTATCTCTCTTCAGTGGTGTGTGTTATATAATTTCGCACAGGAGTTTTGAAGTATGATCTGCTAGCTTCTTCAATCTTCATCCAAACAATCCTTGTCATTGGTCTATTTTGACATGATGGATGCATGGAGTAAAATGTAGGAAATAACTAGCATTAAAAAAAAAACACAAACACGAACACGTGTGCACGCACGCAAACTCAGAGAAAGAGGGACCGGGGGGGAGGAGGGATCAAAAAATCATTTCCGTGAAGTTTTTTGTCGTCTCAGTTCATAATAAACATTAAACATAGTAGGTAAAAAAAACGTCAGTCCAATAGGTATATTAGCAACTACTTTTCGGAGTTCAACGTTTGAACAATATATTATTCTCTACAATTCATGGTCTCAGGAATAATAATTGGAGTTGGGGACAATAATATAGTCCAAAAGAAAATTTGTAAGTCTTGACCAGCTCCTGGTGCCACATGGCCACATGGATGATTAAAGATCTTTGCCAGAGGGGCTTTAACACATTGTTTCTTTTCTTTCGCTAGTTCAACTTTCAAAATGGTGTAATATAACAGCGACACCATTAGAATCCTATTCCACGCACCATCCAATGCATTTTGAACTTGGAGAAATGCTATGTTGCCCAAATTAAAACCCAAATCTCCCAACCCAAATATATTTACACCTCACACTAAATGAAAAAACTGTTTTTTGGGGACCCACAAAGTGATATGTGGGTCACAAATACACTTGGGATGGAAGATTTGGGTTTAGATTTGGGCCGCATGGCAGTTCTCTTTTGAACTGTTTGCCAAGGGGCATGCATGAATCTAGATCCCTCCAATACATTTTCCATTGCATTTCCCTCATTGGTAGATCACCCAATGGGGAATCTACCTACATAAAATGGAAGTCTGCGTGGTTATGTGACAAGCCAGTCTTAAGTGAATTCTTTGGAGAGAAAAAAAGCAAAAGAAGCATCAACCCCAGATGCCCATACCATCATAATAAAAGTGATGCTGCTGGCCTCTAGCCCAGAAATAAGGAATCTAACAAGATAGAAGTTCCCCACATACACATAAACACCCATGTTTACATGATATCACTAACTAAAGACATGATGATGGAAACATATGATCTGGAGATGAGTAAAATTAAGCAAACCTTGTTGTCAGACATTCCATTTGTTGGATTGAACACTTTCCCAGTGCTTGCTGCACCCCTTGTCAAATCGCCAAATTCATTAATAGACCAAGCATGTTTACCAGGAGACAAGCCACTAAAACTAGCTTCAACTCTAGCCAATTCCATATTCACTTGAGCCAAACGAACCACGCCAAAAATATTGGGACCTTTGAATTCAGCAACAGCGGCAGAAACCAGAAAATCTGCATACAAAGATCAGAGGAACATTTTTTTTTCAAAAATGCTATTATAGCCAGAATGAAAAATAGAAATGTAAAACTGAGACCCATTCACACCTGTAAACACCAAGTTCCTGTTGATTTTTTTGCTCATAAGGACTTGAGAGCAATATTACCAATACCAGGGTCTGATTTAGAATCCATGTTGGAAACCAGGTAGGACATGAAATGAATGTGTGTGTGTGTGTATCACACAGAGAAAGAAAGAGAGAGACTATCCCTGGAGGCCCCTCCCTTGTATGAGACAAAGGGCTATTTACCGACAAGCCCATTTGTATGGCCTACACGTGAACCCCCCCCCCCCCTCCCCCTCCTTTTTCTCTTGGATGGGGTGCAGTAGAATATTATCATTTTCACCACCACCAAAGTAACTTAAGGACGTGAAAGAGAGTTTCAACGCAGGGCATCATAGGTGGAAAGCTGGAACATCATGCTGACACTTATGCACACCCATGGGAAAGGGGGGAGATACATGAGTATGCACGTATACCCATTATTGCTCCATTTGCAAAGTTGCGCTCCAAGTATGTAACCAACCAATATTAAGAAGTCCAAAGCAGAATACCATATTACAAAGCACACAAAATATCATAATATGTATCCAACTATAAAACTTCGGTTACTTTTCTGAATTATTTGGCACACATTTTAAAACTACTTATCAACAGATTCTGATCCAGATTCCAATTCATGATCTGGAATTATTAAACAACAGATTCTCATTCCAAGTTCTTCTGAATCTAATATAATTGAGCAAATGTTACCATGTGATATCTCTTGTCAGTTATATACAACCATATAAACCGAACTTATGCCCTTAAACAATATTAAGATGATTCACAATGTGTAGAAGCATATAATCATACACGAGGTTAATACACTATATGCTACGTCAGTTGAACAGTAGACATGTTCAACATCTATGCTTCAGATTGACGAATTGTCTAACTTATCCATCCTGAAGAATTATTATTCCCGGTCAGTCTCTTGATATAAGTTTGAACCACTACAAGTAACAAGTTTTTCTTTCAATATCTTAAGTTTATTGGAACATCTCAATTATCAGTATTAAGAATTATTCTGCAGAAATCCCATCTTCATTCCTTCAGAAGCTTTCATTTACAGACTTGACCTGATTTCATATTCAATTCACTGAAAAATCAGTGGCAGCCACATAGAAATAATAAACCGCTCTTTCATATGCCAATGATAAACACTTGAAAAGCCTGTTGCAAAATCCTACACAAATGTAAAGGCAAGTTTCCCTTTTATCTTCATCAACACAATAATAAAATCGGACAAACCTTCAAGGACCCCTTGGCCGATCAATCGGGCTTTACGGCCAGTCTGCTCCAAAGCTTCAGTCATGCTCTTTACAGGCGACGAACCAAAAACCTTAACCACTTGATTGCTCAAATCCACTTCAATACTCTTAACACCTAAAAAAGAGATCAGTAAAAAAAAAATTACAATACAAAGAAGCAAAACCTAGACATAATGAATAGTTGAAGCACAATCACTTAAGCATTCCCAATCCCCACTCATTTCGAGATATTAGTACCGTTAACAGTCTGCAACTTATTCTTGACGGCATTTACACATCCCTCACACTTCATATCCACCATATACTCTGTCTGTCATGGAATTAAAATCACAATATCAGTGTAATTGAAATAATTACATTTCAAGTCATAAATACCTTCAATTTGATGAAAAAAAGAAACACACACACGGAGCATGAAAGTGAAGATATATTACTGTCACTACTATTAGCAAACCAAAATTTTTTCTGTAAAAAAGACTAATAAATGCAACAGTTTATAATAATCGAGTGAAAATTTTCAACTCAAAAACGGACCTAATTCAATCTAAACTTATCTTCACACCACTAGGATCAAAACATGGATTACTAGTACCACTCATATAAATGTATATAAAACTTACCAGTAACTCGGGCAATATGGCATCGTTCTGCAAATCAAAACAACGAAATCGTCACGATTTTTGTCTGAAAATCAAGCCACAGGAACTGAAATTCAAAGGAGAAAGTGAAAATTTTGGAGTGATTGTCAAAAAAATTTCACGCTTCTTTACCTGTTGAGACGGTTTGTGGTCGGATAACGGAGCGTCCATGTGAAGAGCAGAGGGAGGGCTCGCGAGACTCTTGACGAGACCTAAACGGTCCAGTCTGAAAAGTGAATTCGATGAAAGAGGCGCAAAGCCTGAAGACTTATATATCTTAGACGAAGGTGAAGAGGACAAAGAAGGAGATGAATAGAGAGCCAAGGCAGCGGGAACTGGAAGAGCTGTGGCAGCAGCTACGGCCATGGACCTGAGAAATGCCATTATTGTTTCTAGTATGTACTCAAGAAGATCTAGATGCTTCTAAGATTGTGGTTGGACTTTTAATTTGGGCTTCTTTTGAACTTGGTTTCCTAGAAGATCTTAATGCTTCCCTTTATCTTACTGGGCTGTTTTGGGATTTTGAGCTTTTAATTTGGGCTTCTTTTGAACTTGGTTTACTAGAAAGGGTTTATCCGTATTTGGTAGAGTAGGTAAATGTGCTCATGAAGGAAATGAAAAAATCTGGGATAATTAATGAACAAAATATTATAGAATCAAAAGTGGCTCTAGTTTACGGTCAGATGAATGAACCTCCGGAAGCTCGTATGAGAGTTGATTTGTTTGCTCTAATTATAGCGGAATATTTTCCGAGATGTTATTGAATAATACATACTTTTATTTATCGACAATATATTTCGTTTCGTCCAAGCAAGATCCAAAGTATCTTTTGTATTGGATAGAATGCCTTCCGCTGTTGGTTATCAACCCACCCTTAGTACCGAAATAGGTACTAACCACTTCTACCAATTTTGATGCTTCAATTTATCTGCCTGGGCTATAGTATTGGGCTTTCTATAGAAGTAGGTTCCCAGTGTTATTGGACTAAGGAAGTAAATTGGGCTTCTGTGTAGCCTTAGTTTTGAACAGTGGGCACTTTTTTATTGTGCAGCATGAATGAAGTTTGAGTTCGGCCTCCTTGAAGCCCAAAAGAATCATCTCATCTTTGGAGTAGATATTCACTATTTAATTAAAATTTTTATTAAATCATAAATTAAATTTTACTTTCTACATGTGAAACTTATCGAATTAGGTTTACTTTATCTGTCTAATAGTTTTTAATTGAATGAAGATATTATGTGACCGTGATGGTGTGATATCACCATTTTATTGAATATTTTATTCATATCTTATGAAAACTCTTGAACATAATATAGGATATGAAGTACCATTTAATTTAAAGTTATTTATTTATTTAATATACATTACTATTTCAATGTTTGATAACAATTAGAATTCAATGCTGAAAAAGAATGAAAAAATTTACTCAAATATTTGGATAATCACTAAACTCGTACTGGACCCAACCCCGATCCTAGACACAAACCCTCATACCAAGGACTTGGACCTTGGATTCAAACCTGGCCCAAACTAGATCCCAGATTCAGACCTGACCTTGGCCCCCCGAACCGATCCCAAACCAAACCCCAGACCCAGACCCCAAATGGACCTAACCTCGGGTGTAGGTGGCGTTGTGATAGTGATAGTTTAAATTAATTCTCTATACAAATTGTTTAAATTAATTTTTTTTCCTGTCATAATACATACGAGGGATATTTTCTATCTATTTTTTTTATTCTAATAGATAGTATAATTGTACACTAATTACGATTTTTTAAGAAAAAAATAAAAATAAAAATTTTATTTTATTTCAATAAATGACATAATAGAACATGAAATTTGGTTATAAAATTCATGTTCTATTATGAATAACTTATACCCCTTGTTTGATTTTTTTTATTTTGTTCCAATAAATAGTATAATTGTATACTAATGATGATTTTTTCAAAAAAAATTGACTTTTTATTTTTAATTTTATTTCAATAAATGATATAATAGAACATAAATTTTAGTTGTAAAATTTAACATATTTGATATTCTATTTTTGATTGGAGTATTTTTTTCTCTAAATATAATATTTTAAACTTGAGAGGTATAAATATTATACGTCTATAAACTTCAGAGAGTTTATGTGTAATTTATTAACAAATATTCTAACCGACATTTGATGGCAAGGGGTCTAAGTATTACGTACATACAAATTTCAAAGAGTTTATGTGTAATATTTTAAATTTCGAAAAATCTGAGTAATTAAATGACAATTATTAGAAAGTTTCGATGTAATTCACCCTAAAGAAAAAAGGTCTTATTAAGCTGGGGCCAAAAGTCCAAGGGTGTGTTTGGTTTTGTTCTTGAAAACTGTTTTTTGTTTTCAAAATTTCAAAAACACCCAAAATTTATTTATTTCACATTTTTATTCCCAAATTTTTGGGAAAAAAATGAGAATTGAAACAAAAAAATTGAAAACAAGTTAAACTTGTTTTCAAAGTTTTCTTTGAAAATTTTGGAAACATGGAGACAAACTTTGCTCATTAAAAAAGTCTGCCCTTCGAACCTTCTTAGTAACAAATAAGATCCTCCAATAAAAGATATTTTTTTTGCCGGTTCTCTATCTCTTTTTTTTCCCCTACTCTCCCTTTCTCTCTCTACTTCAACAAAACTAGAATAAAAGAACCAGTAACACTCTTCGACAACTTTGTTTTCTCCGACAAAAGAATCTTCTTCGGCGAATGTAGATTGTCTTCTCCGACGACTGGATTACTTCATAAAAAAAAAAAAATTGTTGGTCTTTTCTCCCTCCTAGACTTTCTCTTTCTCCGACTTTCAAAAGGATCCCAGATATGAGTTTTAGATCTTGATTTTCAGATTTGGGTTTTAGATCTGAGTTTCAAATCTAGGTTTGTTTTCTCCGGTAATGGGTTTTCAAATCTAGGTTCAACTTTCAGAATCTGGGATTATTTCGGCGAAGCTATGACTAATTTTTCTTTTTCTTTTTTAATTTTATTACTTCGACAAAGCTCTGGTGCAGTTAAACTTTCAGATTCTGGGATTACTTTGGCGAAGCTCTGGCTAATATTTTTTTTTTTTAATTTTATTACTCCGGCGAAGCTTCGGTTCAGTTAAATCAATGACTAATTTTTCTTTTTTCTTTTTTTAATTTTATTTTATCAAGTTTAATATATTAAAATAATTTTATATGAAACCGTCTATCCAAAAAGATTTTACAATTTTCTATTTTGTAAAATCATTTTTTAAATTATCTAATCAAACAAATTTTTCGTCTTAAAAATATTTTTTTAAAATTCTTTAAAAAAATTATTTTTAAATAGTATTTTTAGAGACGCAAACTAAACATGCCTCAAGGCTTCGCAAGTCTTGCACCGGAGAAAAATGAAGAAAAAGGGTCTCAGCCAGCTGGGATCCTTTTGAGGCTATTAGCAACATTCAAAATGTCTCGGTCACTTGATTGGCGAAGAATAGAAAGACCCTGTGTGAGAGAGAGAGAGAGAGAGAGAGAGAGAGGCTACGTAATGAGGGGGCCAAGACGAAGATAATAGATATCTCCCTCATGAGTAAATGTTACTACACTTAATATTAGTTCATTGTTCACCAACAAAATAATCTATAAATTTAAAATATTTTTGAGTTATAGTATTCCGAACCCACTATAGATGACAATTAGAACTAAAATATACATTACTATTCCAATGTTTGATAACAATTAAAATTCAATATTGAATTAGAATTAAAAATTCACTCAAATATTTGGATAATCACTAAAATCATACCAAATCCAATCTTGACCCTAGACTCAAACCCTCGGACCACGAACGCGGACCCTAGATTTGAACTGGACCCAACCCCGACCCCTGGACCCGGATGAACCCCGATCCCAGACCCAGACCCCAAATGGACCTAACCTTGGGTGTAGGTGGCGTTGTGATAGTGATGGTTTAAATTAATTTTCTATACAAATTGTTTAAATTAATTTGTTTTTTTCTGTCATAATACATACAAGGGATATACCACTAGACCAAAATTGGCGAAGATTTAAAGTTAGCGTCTCCCAAGAGCACGCAATGACATTCTCAGCTTAGAAGAAGAATTCCAATTCCCACTAAAGCTTTTAAAGTGAAATTACAAAACATAATATAGACATTATTTTGAAGAACAATGCAGATGCTAAGGGAAGATTGATGAGACATAGTTATTAATTATGTGGAAGCGTTTAGTATCTACTCTGATAATTCATAGACATCTCATCAGAACTAGAATGTTTTTACGTCAGACATGTGAATAGAAGAGAAAGAGACCATATAAATACAAGAAAACACCACCTTACATTTGTGTTGTGTGCCGATCATCACGCATTAATTTGGGGATCCAAAGTTCAAGCACTATGACCTATTTTTTTCTTAAATAAATCCACTACCCATAGATCATCCATAAATTAAAATTTTACTTGAGTATATGCTAATGAAATAAATAGAAACAATATTTTATTCTACATATAACCTATGAAGAAAAATAATTCCTAGTATTTTTATCTACAATACTTGATAAAAAAAGAGAAATAAAAAAAAATGAAAAGATTATTCGTATTTTATACCAACTCAATTAAATTCTCATTTTAATAATTGGTTACACCAAGTTTAAATTTGTATAAAGTTTGTGTTAATAACATGTAAGCGTATTATGTCAACAAATTATAATTTGTAATTCGACCAAAAAATTAATCAAAGTCGAGTGATAAAGACATAACACAATAATGATAAAATAAAGTTTGAGGGTGGAAGCCTTGTGACCTACGACACCCTGTGGGCTCTGAGACAGCTTTAATTCAACAATCATAGATTCATTACTCGAAAGGGAGACGAGTTATTTAGACATAATTTATTATTCTAATTAGTTATTATTTATCAAATTAACAATTGAGCTCAATATTAATTGAGAAGTGCTATCAATTAAATAATTATAATATATTAAATCAACAAATTAAGTCAAAATAATATTACTATTATTTTTTTATTTTTTTGATTCAATAGTAAAATGTACCCGAATTCGTTTGCGCGCACCTGAACTAGTCTTCTCTTCGGTCTAGTTAAAAACATGTTATCTATGTGAAGATTAAAATATTAATGAGAAATAAATCTCTCGTGACTTGATTTCAAAGAGTTTAAACTCTAAATTTCTAAGCTAATTGCTCTGAAAAGTAACCCCCATAATTTTGAGAAAAGGGTGTCCCCTCACGAACTCCTAATTTTTTGCGTCATTCTCTGGTGCAAGACTTGGGAAGACAAGTAACATAAAGAAGAAGGGTCTCAGAAAGCTGTGGCCAAAAGTCCAAGTCTTCGCATTGCACCGGAGAAACATAAAGAAAAAAGCAATGCTCTTGGGATCTAATTGTAATATTTGGATTGACTATA